GATAGAGACAGAAAGAGCACAGGGAGAGAGAGCGAGCGAGAGAGAGAGAGAGAGAGAGAGGAGAGAGCGAGAGAGAGAGAGAGAGGAGAGAGAGAGAGAGGAGAGAGCGAGAGAGAGAGGAGAGAGAGAGAGGAGAGAGCGAGAGAGAGAGGAGAGAGCGAGCGAGTGAGAGAGAGGAGAGAGAGAGAGTGAGAGAGAGGAGAGAGAGAGGAGAGAGAGGAGAGAGAGAGAGAGAGAGAGGAGAGAGCGAGAGAGAGAGAGAGAGAGAGAGAGAGAGAGAGAGAGAGAGAGAGAGAGAGAGAGAGAGAGAGAGAGAGAGAGAGAGAGAGAGAGAGGAGAGAGAGAGAGAGAGAGAGAGAGAGAGAGGAGAGAGCGAGAGAGAGGAGAGAGAGAGAGAGAGAGAGAGCGAGAGAGAGAGAGAGAGAGAGCGAGAGAGAGAGAGAGAGAGAGAGAGAGAGAGAGAGAGAGGAGAGAGAGGAGAGAGCGAGCGAGCGAGCGAGAGAGAGAGAGAGAGAGAGAGAGAGAGGAGAGAGCGAGAGAGAGAGAGAGAGAGAGAGAGAGAGAGAGAGAGAGAGAGAGGAGAGAGCGAGAATGCCATGTGTATGGGTGCTTGTGGAAGCCACAAGAGGGCATCGGATCTCCTGATGGTGGATTTCCAGGAAGTTGGGCACTAAAACCAGACCCAAGACCTCTGAAAGAGCAGCAAGAACTCTTGATGGATGAGCCATCTCTCCAGCCCTGAACAAATATTAGTTTTATTTCATGTATATGGGTGTTTTGCTTGCATGCATGTTTGCACATGGTGACCTGGTGTCTGTGGAGGCAAGAAGAGAGCATTGGATCCCTTGGAACTGGAGTACAGATAGTTGTGTGGGTGCTGGGAATTAAACCTAGGTCCCCTGGAAGAGCAACAAGTGCTCTTGACCTCTGAGCCATCTCTCTAGCCTCTCAAAATATTTTTGTAATTTCTGTATCTCTTTCCATTTTGGCTATTGGGTTCTACCTTAAATTCACTGATACCAGTGAGTGTATTTTGTGTCATTTCCACTGCTGAGACTTGTTTCATATCTCAGTCTTTTGGCTTTGGGACATGTTCAGTGTTTGCAAAAGCAATGTGTGTTCTACAGTTATGTATCAACTGCTGTGCATGTGTTTGATATGTCAGCCTGGTAATTTGTCAGGTTCCCTGCATTCCAGTGACTTTTTTTTTCAAAATCAGAGTCTTAGTTCGTTAAAATGGATTTTTAACACAGGTTTAGTGAGGGAGCATCAGCAAGCACCCAGGGAAAGAGTGAGACATACCCGAGTGTGGGTAAAAGCATCTCAAGACAGAGTTACCTAATTCTAGTTTTTATTTTTATTTTTTAAGACAGGGTTTCTCTGTGTAGCCTGGCTGTCCTGGAATTCGGTCTGTATACCAAACTGGCCTCAAACTCATAGAGATCCACCTGCTTCTGTCTCCTAAGTTTTGGGATTAAGGGTGTGCACCAATAGTCCTGGCATTATTGCATTTTCTTCAGTGCTAGAGATTGAGTTCAGGGCAACACACATGCTAAGCAATTGCTCTACTGCTGAGCCATACTCACACTCAGTCTTTGAAATCTGGTTCTTCAGTTAGTTACTAGAAAAAGTCCTGATAAAATAAGTTATGATTATGAGTTTATTTTTGCTAGTTTATATTTTGTCTCTCCTAGCTTTATTTTTTAATATATACAAATTTAGAACTATTTTTATCTTCTTGACTTGTTATTTATTGCACTAATTATTTAGAAGGTACCAGAGTGGAAACTGAGGCTCATGTTGTCATTTCAAAGACTCACAGGAAATTGAGGTGGGGGCAGCCATTTCTGCTAGATCCCACAATCTGAAATAACTGTGAAGTGGTGTTCATATTACTCATTGAAATTAAAAACAAAATGCACTTACAAACTTAGGACCATTTTTATCTTCTTGATTTTTGAAAATAATTTATCAATTTTTAAAAATTTCATCTTACATTCCAGCCACAGTTCTACTTTAAAACCTAAGCCCATGTCTCCCAATTTCCACCTCCAGATATTCAGTGTGGGTCTTCTTCTCTTATCTCATGTGTCTCTCAGGCTCCTTACTGTGAGTCAGATCCCTTGTCAGGTCTCAGAGAACACCAGGTACCAGAGCACCTGGGGACCATGGCTTTCTTTCTTTCACCAATGGTTCTTTTGGTCAGAACTTTGACTTTAATGTAATGACTCTGCCTGCTGGGGCCATGTCCCTCCTGCTCAGGGCTGGAAGGAACAGGAAACTGAGGAACACAGATTTAACCTTCTAAGGACAAGAGGGAACACAGAAAATAATGGCATGTTCTGACCTATGGTCCCTATGGCCGTGGGCAGATCCAGTGATGTCTCTAGAGTGGTCTTCTTGCTGTGCAGTAACCATTGACCTGCCTTGGCTCTGTTGCTCAAAGTCACAGTCGCTGTGTCTTGCCTGCTTGGCTGCTTTCCGTGTGTGTGTGTGTGTGTGTGTGTGTGTGTGTGTGTGTGTGTGTGTGTGTGTATGTATGTCTGTGTCTGTGTGTCAGTTGTGACCCTTTATCTGATTGCTCCGTGCTCCTCCTCAGACTGTAGCGAAGTCATCAGTTTATGTTTAGGTAACCATCTGGACCTTAAATATTTTTTTTAAGCAAAAGAGAGTTATTTTTTTCCAAAATCAGTAGGCAAATAAAGGGCAAAGTGATGATGTGGACTGGTGCCTCTTCTTCATTGTCCCCCTTTAGTTCCCAACCACATTATTTTCTTTTCCGTTTTATTTCCATTGCTCTGTCAATCTCATCTTTTTTTATTATCTCTTTTTCATTTTTTTCTCTTGGTGTTCCTGGTGATTGAGCCTGGGGCCTTGCACATAGTAGGCAATGGCTCTACCATTTAGCTACATACCCAGACCTTGTTTTGTTTTTGTTTTAGATAGAGTCCCTTTATGTAGCTCAAGCCGGCCTTGAACTCATGATCTATTGCACACGAGGAAGGGCCTGATGTAGGTAACGATCGTCATATTTCTCTTCAGAAAAATATCATGGAAGCATACCAGCCCACCAAAAAGCCTCTGAAGTCAACGGTGAAGGCAATTAGAATAGCCATTCCTGAGAACAAAGCTGTCCACAATTATAGTATCCAGAGCCTGAACTCCACAGAGCTTGCTAAGAAGGAGATGTTTAAAGAGATGGCCAAGGTGAGTGACAAGGCAGCTGCCAACACATCCTCTTAGTCAATGTCCTATTGCTGTGAAGAGACACCATGACTGTGGCAACTCTTATAAAACAAAGCATTTAATTGGGGGTGACAGTCTATGATAATCATGGTGGGAAGCAGACAGACATGGTGTTGGAGCAGTAGCTGAGAGCTTTATATCCTGATCCCTAGGCAGCAACAGGCAGAGGGAAAAAGACATGGTATGGGCTTTTGAAACCTTCAAGTTTACCTCCCAGGGGCATATCAGCTACAACAAAGCCATGCCTCCTAATTCTTCCCAAACAGTTCCACTCCCTGATGACTAAGGTTCAACTAGATGAGCCTATGGGGCCATGTTCATTCAAACCACTATACATATGGGCTTTTCTTTCTCTGACCAAGGGTAATCTGGGGCCTTGGGTGAAATCAGGCATATAGGGACAGTGGACAAAGGATCAGGTGATGGGAGAAGAGTGTGGCTTCACCATTCTCTAGAGAACCAGAGGTGTTCCACAATGCTTAGATACACATGGTTGGAAACAGTGCAGAAGCCGTTCTTCTAGGAAGCCCTGTATTTCCATGGAGACAACTGTTAGCCATAAAAAATCCTGGGCTTAGACTTTCAGTACCCAATATATGTAGAAAATGGATCCTCTGTCAAAGGAGACATGATGTGACCCTTAGAGTTTAGTTAGTGTGAGTGCATTATAGTGTCAGGACCCCATGTCACTGTGTCCCCAGATGTTTCTGATACCTGCTTGGAAGCTCGATGGCTACTCAGCCTTATCCAATACTGTTCTTAGATGTTGCTTGCCTCCTCATGTCTAGGAGCCAAGGAAGAGATTTACATATTCACAGAAATACTTCTCAGCTATGGTGGATCCTCAGGACCCAAAGGAAGAGGCGAAGAAAGCCCAGAAGAAATCCCGCCAGGCCTGGCTCACAGCTGGTGGGTTCCAAGTGTGGGGTCTCCAGAGCACCATTGGAAGCTACCAGCAGGATCTTAGGCTGCCACCCATCAGAGAGCTAAATGAGGTCTTCAGGGAGGAGCAGGGCCTCATGCGGAGGGTTCTTAGGGGTGCCTTCCCACCTCACTCACTTGCTCCTCTTGTGATTTAGGAATGGCAGGAAAACGCACTGTTCACTGGTGTGATGAAGCCTGTGTTGGATCGGGACAGGTGGAGCTGGAGCCAGCGACACCTGGACTTTGACCTGTATAAGAAGCCACCACTTTACTTTCAGGTGCCTCCTTTTCCAGCTCCAAAGTCTGCAACTGGTAAGATAGCACCTTTCTGAGCCGGGCCTCCAGGTACTGCTGGCAGGCAGAGCTCTGGCCCTCTTGGCATCTTTAGCACCATCGGCTGGTTTTGCATTTGTAGTCATACTCTTCGGGTTAGGAAAACAGGGTCAGGATAGGTCTGGGAGAAAGAACTAGTTGTACTTCTGGGACTCAGGATACCTGGGATCTGGTCTTTGTGTGGTGCTGGTTGCATGCTTTTGGACAAGTCTCTTTGCTCTGGGCTTGGTTTCTTGACTATAAAATGGGAGACTGAAAGATAATTAGTGGCTTTTGGAACTTCAATACTGTTACCTAGGACTGGTTTCTGGACCCCTGGAAATCAACAGGGCAGAGATATGGGACCTCATGGAGAACTTCTAACTCCATTTTAGCTGTAGATGCTGCTCCAATTACCTGGGGGAGATGAGCAGTATCAGAGGCATAGGTCTTGCTTAACAAGTCTCTGAGACCTCTTTTCTTGCCCTTCACAGTCTGTTTACGAAGACTAACACATATTTGTTTGCTAAGAGATGCAGAAACTTTGTTGAGGGAGAGCACACAAATTTATCCAGCAAAGAGGTTTGGCAGAAAAAATTCAGAGAGAGCTAGATTCAGTAAGCAAGGGGTTCTTGCCTCCTGACTCCTGAGGGCTGCTGGCTACATGGGAACAGCCCCACAAAACAAGAAGTGCTGACAATTTGTCTGAATGTTGCTTTCTCCACAAGTGTGGATGCAGCTTCTGCACTCCCGGGCAAGCCCTTATCCTTCTGAGACTGGCAAAACCCTGGGTGTGGCTGCCCCAGGTTCAGTCAATGGTGCCGTAGATAAGGCTCCATCAGAGTGAGCTGTGCAGCCCAGAATGTACAGGTCGCCACTGGATTCCACTGCTGGCCTTTCCAGATGAACTTCCCTGGCCTGTTTGCCTGTGAAGATAAGAAGTTCAGGTTAGGGTTTAGCTATACCCATTAAGTTAAAAAAAAACTTGAATATACAGAGGAGGACCAAACGAGTGGCTAGGCCTCTGAAATCCAGATGGATGAGTGGACAGCCTGGTGTAACATCCATACAAGCCCACTCACCCCACAGTGCTGCTGAGAATCTTGGCCTTTCCCATGCTCCCCTCATGGAGAGCATTTTCCCATGTAGCTTCTTCTCCCTGGCACTATACAGGTATGCACTGTCCACATGTACAAAGTTGCCCCTTTGGTAATTTCTAGCCAACTAACTAGTCTCTGGGAAGTTATTTTCCAAGTCACAGCCCTGGCAGGATGCTCAGCCCAGCCCAGCTCTCACAGTCCCAACCTTCCGTATGTCTGCTTCAAGAATCCAAGCTAAGTAGAGAAATAGTCTCATCTCCATTGCTGCTATAGCAGTGGTTCTCAACATCTGGGTCACAACCCCCCAACCATTGGAAAATATAGATATTTATAATATGATTCATAATGGTAGCAGAATTACAGTTAATGAAGTAGCAAAGAAAATAATTTTATGGTTGGGGTCACCACATGAACTGTGTTAAAGGGTTGCAGCCTTAGGAAGATTGAAAACCACTGGTCTGTAGAGGTGACCTTGAGCTGCTTGGCCCTGCTGTGTGAGCACAACTGCTCACCCGGAAACAGACTCTGGGAGTAGATCCGGGAGCACAGCCTCCACAGACAGTGCCTGGACTTGAGCCCTTTGCCCTCTTGAGTATCAACCCACTCCCACTTGCCCAGCTGCTGCACAGTGAAGAGATTCTGGGAGCAGCAGCCTTCCATCTGGACACGCAGTCCAACAGAAATGGCAGGACTGAGGTAGGAAAGATGTTCACTGAGAGCTCTGAACAATGGCACCATTGCCGGGGTCAGATGCCTGGCTCAAAAGGCAGAATGCCCTGACAAAGCTTCTTTTGTCTTGAGGAACAAGTTGCTTAGCAACTGCAGACATTTCCTACGTTGCAGTGGATGTCTGCAGGCTACTCGGGTATGTAAAGAGCCTACTACACAGTAGGTGCTAGAGGCTGCATTGCTTCCTGGACAGGTGAGGAACACACAGGCAAGCAATGGGTTAGGGTGACTGCTTCATGGGCCCATCACTCACCCACCCGTGTTCTCTCAGGTGGCAGACAGAAGGCAAACATCCAGTCTTCTGAAAGGCGCAGACACAGTCAAGTCACGGCGAAGTCAGCTAGCTCCCGTGACAGTCTCTCTGTGCATCCTCAAGACTTAATGTCTCTCAATGACCATCATCTGGTACTACAGGCCCAGTCTCACGTAGCCTCTATTTCCCACGAATCTTCGGTGGGACCACATCACCCAAGTTCTTCCTTTCCCAGCCGCTGGCTTCATTAAAGTGTACTATGATGAAGGGACTTAGTCCATTCGTCATGACCCTGTTGTAAATGCACTCTGGTTCCAAGAGCAAGTTGTTCAGTGTGTCTGGCTTGTTTTTTGTTTGCTTGTTTGTTTTTTTAATGGGGCCATGTGGGGCTCACCTGGTGATCATGATTCCAGAGCCTAGAGGAGATGGAGCAGCTGGCATGGATAGCAGGGCTCTTTCATGCTCTAAGGTAGGTAGATGAGGATGTTGGTCACCCACTTCAACACTGTTTCCACACAGTGATCTGGAGATGTTCAGAGTGGACACCTGCTACCACCCATGGCCCTTCCAGAACTACACCTTTGCTGTTTCAGCTGACCTTTGCTCTTCAGCAACTGGGGACCAATGGACCCTTTCTTCGGTATCTTGGGAGGCTGGTGACAGTTGCTTCATGTTTCCCCTTCTTTATGTGGCAGTTGTCAAGGCAAGACCAAGGCCCAGAAATCTGTCTAAAATTTGAGGCCAGCACTCAGTAGGCTCAACTCTATCTTCAGCAATAAGAGCTCCCCCTATGTCCAGCCCCTGGGGTGGCTCTACAAGTTCCTGGGAGCTTTGCTCTGCCAGTCCATAGAAGCCTCAGCTTGCAGGGCTCCCATGCAGGTACTACAGGTCAACTGTCTCAGCCCGTAGCCATCAAGGTTTCTATCCTAGACATGGCTGCATAGGCAGACATCAGGCACAAAATAATCCCATGGCTGTTGGTTGGTAGGTGTTGTGGGTGCTGTGTCCCAGGTCAGCAGTCCCTACTAATCTTCCAAAATGGAATAGTGCCTTCTCAACAGTTTGGCAAAATTGATACGCCTTCACTTCCAGCTTGGTCATATTGTCCTTACAGGCCACCAAACAGTTACTCAGTAACTCTCCCAACAGCCAGGGGCCCAGGAAGACAGGGGAGAGATGGAGTAGGGCATTGAAGTGCTCTCTCCATGTCCCTGAAGGAGCTTAGAGACTAGTTATATCCCTCTGTAGTAGAAATACCAGAAGGGAATTCAAGTGAGGGAGGCTCACGTGCTGTGCCTACTCACCTCAAGACTGAGATGTACAAACAAGACTGCCACTCACTTCAGTCTAGAAAGTCCCAAAGCCTCCAGACAATGGTTTCTGTGGTCACTTTGCCTTCTTTAAGCTCACTGCAGGAAGTTCACAGTGCTGTCATTTAAGGCCCAGCCGCATGGAACTCTGTTCTATGGGCTGAGCATGTGAGTTGCTTGTGTATAGCATGGTTTTCTCTGCCTATCAGGAAGCATCCAGCCATAGGGAATATATGGAGTCATCTGAGACAAAAAAGCAGCCAATGAATCCTTCCACTGGGGAAACAGCCTTGGGATAAAAGGAAGAGCACAAAGATGTCTGTCATTCTATACCTGCTATGTAGCTCAACACTCTCCCCGTTTAAGACTCTGATTGCTGCATACTCCATGACAACTGTTGAATCAGCCCATCTTGTTTCTAGTCCCTGCTCCCAACAGGAGTGCCCTAAACCCAGTCATTTCATGCTTAAAACCTCCTGTGGCTTCCAAAAGTCCTGTCAGTCAAACGCTTCCACAGTCTGGTTCTTTTCCTAACTGAACTGACTCATTCACTTTTTGCTTCGCTGTTCTGCTAAATGAGGCAGTCCACAAGCAGGATCACCTGTTGTCTGAGGATTCGTAGAGACAGGATCATCTCTTTGTCTGAGGATTTGTAGAGACAGGATCACTTATTGTCTGAGGATTCATAGAGACAGGGTCACCTATTGTCTGAGGATTCATAGAGACAGGGTCACCTATTGTCTGAGGATTCGTAGAGACAGGATCACCTATTGTCTGAGGATTTGTAGAGACAGGATCATCTCTTTGTCTGAGGATTTGTAGAGACAGGATCATCTATTGTCTGAGGATTTGTAGAGACAGGGTCACCTATTGTCTGAGGATTCAGTAGGGGTAAGAGTCTCTTTTGTGGCAGGCTCCTTTAATTCTATGACCTTTCAGCATTTATTCTGATATCTGACTCTGAGTTTTTATTAAGACCTATCAGAACTCATGTTACAAGCCATTTTGCAGTAATAACCTTGCGCATTGGTGACCTTCACAGTCATGTTTACTGGACTCTGTAGTTTCAACTCACATAGGATACAGGTAAGTGGCCTGGATGCAACTGTATGAGGTTTGGGTCAGTGTTTATGGCTAGGGTTAGAGTTAGTGTAATGTGACAATCTTTTCTGGAGGCACCTAGTATAGGCTCACCTCTCATCCTCTAAGTGTACCTCTATGTATTTTAGATTCCAAACCGTTTCAAAAGCCCAGTATACCCTGTACAAAAGCTAGGTGGCCCCTAGAGAATGACAGTGGATTATGGAGCTAAATAGTTTCAGTGCTGTGGGATGTCTTTCTGTATGCCATGATTATGTGTTGTTCTCATTGTTTGATAAATAAAACTACTTTTGCCTATGGCAAGGCAGGATAGAGCCAGGGTGAGGTGCCTATTTAATGTATCAGAGTGGACCTGCCACCAGGTTCTTCCTGCATCCTTCAGTCCCTACCTGTAAAGGGTCCTCCTGGCTGGCATATTGCCTTACCCTAAACCCTCTAGCCCAAGGGCTGGGATGCTCTTCCCTATACAACCCAAGCATTTTGGTTATCTGCTCTTGTTGTTGTTTTGTATATTTGGGCCTCTTGGTTGTTGCACATGATTCCCCACTCTCCCCTTCTTATTCCTCTCCCTCTCTCTCTACATGGCCCAGCTTAGGGCCATGTACAAGCTGAATGTTACCAGAGGTCACTGCCTCTTGCTATTTTCTCCCACATATCTACAAGAAATCTTCCCCTCCATCATACCTAGGAGCACCCATATTTATTTTTTCTTTTTTTCATTCACTTACTTTTATTAAAAGTTCTTTTTTTCTTTTTCACTGTTATCTGCAACTGATCCTTAAATGGTATGGGTTTTGGCCATCATTGACCTAAGGATGCTGTGTAATTTAATACTTTCAAAAATTATCTTAGGCACTTTTATTGTCTTTGTTGAGAGGAAAACTATTAGACCACAAACTGGCTAATAAAAATGAAAATGCTGGATGTGGTGGCACATGCTTTTAGTCCCAGCACCCAGGAGGCAGTGGGATCTCTGTGAGTTTGAGGCCAGCCTGGTCTACAGAGTGAGTTCCAGGATAGCCAGAACTACATAGATACTGTCTCAAATCAACACCACCACCATTACGACATATATCTACAGCTTTTAAACTAAATATTCTCTACCCTCTTTGGGAAGATTAGAAGTTTGAAGATTAAACTGGATAAATGGCTCAGTGGTTAAGAGTTCTGACTTTTCTTCCAGAGGACCCAGGTTGAATTCTTGGTGCCTGTATGGTGGCTCACAACTGACTATAACTCTAGTTCAAGGTTACCCAACACAGTCACATAGACTTATATGCAGGCAAAACACCAATACACATAAAATAAGATTAAATAAATAATATATGAAAAGAAGTTGGAAGATTTTCAGATTTCATTATATAATGTATTTATTTCTTCTAAAGTACACCTGTGATTGTCCCATCCCCATTCAGCATCTGTGTAGTGTCCACTTTATGCACATTTACAGCGGCTAGCTCTGTGGCATACAAAGATAAATATGGCCTATATCTCACACTGTAAGAGTGCTCTGTCTCTTGGACAGACTTGCATCAGTTGATACCAAGGGGTAAGGAGTATTGAATGTCATTGGAGTTAACTTCAGAGTCTTTTATTATGTTGTGTTCTGCCTGCATGTATGCCTACACACCAGAAGAGGGCAGCAAATCCCATTATAGATGATTATCTATATAGGTGGTCTTCAGGTCCTCTGGGAGAGCAGCAGTGCTCTTAACTGCTGAGCCATCTCTCCGGCTCCAACTTCAGAGTATTATTGGAACCATTACGTGTTATGAATCTTTTGGGAGTAAGAAGAGTGAGAGTTTGCAGTAATCTTGTGGAAACTGGCACTATAGGTGTGTGTGTGTGTGTGTGTGTGTGTGTGTGTGTGTGTGTGCGCGCGTGTATGCACTCGCATAACCCTAACCTTTCCCCAGTGATGTCTCCTGGGCCCAAGCCTTAGCTGCTCTCCACAACACCGTAATGCCTTCAAGACTGGTACCACACTACCTAGTTCATGAGAAGCAGCCTTGCTCCCTCTAGACCACAGCTTCTGTGTGCTGACCCTGAGGAAATACTTCTGGATTTCACCTCAGTGATGTCGGTCCCTTCTCACCGCTAATACTCAGCTCTGCTAACCAGTGTAGATGGTTCTGGCAAAGCCAAGGTTCCCTTTAGTGTTGCCGGTCTCCTGTTAATCACAGCTGACTTTAGCCCCAGCTGACCATAAACTGCAGGTTCTTAATACACACATCACACAAACTGCCATGACAGTCTCTGGTTCCCTCTGAAGCAGAACAAGCCAGGCTCCCAGTGGCTTCAGAGCTCTCAGCATTGTCTCCCAGGTTCCCACAGAACATCCCAGCATGCTCTATGCATTAGCCCAAAGTGTCAAAAAACAACAGGTCTGTTACAGCAATGTCCCATGAACCTAGGACCAGTTTCTGTTCTAGGTTAGGTTTCGATTGCTGTGATAAAACACAATAAGCAAATGAAATTTGGGCAGGAAAGGGTTTACATCAGCTTTCTGTTGTACTACATCCTGACATAACCTTAGTACAACTGATGCCACCATGGAAGTGCCATTCAGGCCTTGGAACCCAGCTCAGGCAGCAGCACCTACCTGCCAGAGCAAGAACAAAGACCTAACCCACCAAATTCCATAGTTCTGGGAAAAGCCTTTTTGACTTCCCTGGTTCTGATTCAGGCTAAGTGAAGTATAACAACCCTGAATGTTGTTTCTTGGGACTGCCCTTGGGTCCTGAACACCAGTATAATCACCAGCTGGCTAAAAGACTGTCTATCGGCTTGAACTGAACCTGTGCCTGAGTGTCCTCTCTGATGGGTGCCTCACAACCATGAAGGCAAGTCAGGGCGAGAACCTGAGGTAAGAAGCTGGGGCAGGAACTGAAGCAGAGAGCATGAAGAAACTGGCTTGTTAGTCCCTCCTACTTGCCCCTTGGTTGATTTTGAGATAGGGTCTCACTATAGAGCTCTGGCTGTTGTGGAACTCATTATTTAGACCAGAATGGCCCCGAACTCACAGAGATCCACCTCTTCTGCCTCCAACTGCTGGGAGATTCCACCATATGCGACTCTGCCCTTCCTTTTTTCTTCTACAGCCCATGACCACCTGCCCAGCGGTGGTACCAAACCAGTGGGGCGGGCCTTCCCAAATCATCATTAACCAAGGAAGAATCCCACTGACATACCCACAGGACAATCGGATGGTGGTATTTGTACCACTGGGGACATGGATCTACTTTCACTCTTTCATGTGTAAGTCGTTAATTTTCCAGGCATCGTCTGCTTTAGAGACCAAAGGCGAGGTTGCTCTAGATGTGTAGGTTTATTGCTGGATCCTCTCGTCCACCCCTTACTCCATCTGAGCTCCTTTTGTGCCAGTGCCATACTGCTTTCATTACGACAGCTCTGTCACATATTTTGAAATCAGATCTTGTGATTACATCACCGTTTCTATTTTCCTTTAAGATTGCTTTGGCCATTGGGGGTCTTTTTGTGTCTCCATATTAATGTTTACATTGGTTTTCCTAGTTCTGCAAAAGATTTCATTGGAATTTTGATGAGGAGGAAGGACAAAGAGCTCCGGTGACCCTCAAGTCCACCTTCAGTTTCCTAAAGCAAGGTTAAAGTTTAAATAGAGGACGAGAGTTATGAATATCTCAGCAGTCTCCAGCTAAGGTGTGGTGTGGCCCTGCCCATTTCTGTGGGTGCTGTAGTAGCTCCAGCAAGGTGTTCTGACAAGACGATGGGCCTGCGTGAAACCTTCTCTGGGGGAAAAGTCTGGCTAGGCCAGGCTTTAGGCTTTTTCTTCACACAGCATGAGCTTACTGGGGGAAATTCCGGCTTCTCAGGGCCTGCTATGATAGCCGAAGCCAGGGACACGGTGTCTCTTTAGAACATCTTCATCTCTGCCAGGCTGGTTACAAGGTGGCCTCTTGGGGAAGAGAAGACCTTGTCTCAGGGATGCATCAGGCATTCCGATTCCGACTCTGTGGCAGGAAGACCTCCTTTCGCAGAGCCTGTAGTGCGGGCCTGGATACGGAAGGGAAAGTCCTCCTGACACAAAGCCTTGCTGAGTCTAGTCTCAGCCACAAGAAAGAAAAAGATAACAGGGCAAGGCCAAACTCTGGGCCAGGCATCCTCCAAAGAGGAAGTTCCTTCTGGTGGAAGCCCCGAGCTTATTAGCACATGGCGTCTCCATAGGAAAGACCTCCCCACTTCCCCACCACATAGATATTCGCTTCCCCCAAGTCAGTTTTCCCGCTTCCTTTTGGTGGCTGTACAGACCCCAGACAGAGACTCCTCTCTAGAGCAGGCAGACGCTCCAACTACTTGGGCCAAGAGAAGTTCCCTGCCTGCAGATCCCTGACTGAGCATGGGGCTTCTGCAGAGCAGAGAAAACCCCTCCTGAGGCAGAACACTAAAAGCCTAAGTCCAGACATCCTCCTTGGGTAAGGAAGGCACTCCTGCCACTGGGGCCCAAGGCTCCTCCTCACGGAAGGGGAAGAAACACATACACGCACCACACTCCGTTGGGAAAAGAACGTCGTCCTCTTGGGAGGACACAGGGTCACCAGGCCAGCGCTGTGGCTATTTAAACACTCAGGCGAAACCTCTGCACGGGCCTCGACTTCAGGACTACTTCAGCCACCTCCCGCGGCCCACACCTCGAATCCGCACAGGCGCAGAGATGCGCGTAGTGCCTTCTGGGATTGGTAGTTTTTCCGTGAGGTCTGCACTCCGGAAAGAAGCCGAAGGGAGGGGTCAAGGACTACAAGATCCAGCATTCCACAAGTCCTACGGGAGGATGTGGGTGTGAGCCCCTGCTTTTAAGTAGTAGTTGGGCGTTGAGTTGACGCGGTGCTCCAGCTTGAGTGTCTGGCTCGCGTGGAGAGGTGATTCCGGAACCGGAGGAAAGACACTCCCTAGTGAAGGAACCTGGGGTCTCACTCCCCTCCGGGTCATGCCCCGTGTGTCTGACGGAGGTGGCTGCGAGGCATCTCCTGGCGAAGGAACCGGCTCTCATCTCCATGTCTTTGGACTTCTTTCTGCAGCCTCTGGATGGCGGTCCCCGGGTGCCCGTGGGGCCGGGGCAGACGGTGATAGGCCGCGGGCCTCTGCTGGGAGTAAGTGCGGGAGGTGCTCCCGGGCGCGGGCAGCCAGAGGTTGCTCGGCTGAGGCTCCTGTGCTTGGCTCTGCTAGTCAAGATTCTACAGTTTGGGGGCAGTACGGTCTCACTCAACCTTAGTCAACTCACAGACTTTTTTTTTTGGTGCCTGAAAAAAGTACTGAATGTGTTAACATCATGATCATCAAATCCAGGCTGAGCTAATTTCGGTTATAAGATATAAAATATAAGCAGGCCAAATAAACAAAAACACTATTAACTTTTAAGGGAGAATAGTTATTCTAAGGGTCAACGTTTTGCATGTTGACCTACGAAGCTTACAATAGTTACAGTACTGTACGGCCCATTACAGAGAAGGTGGTCAATATCCAGTGACCTCCTGAAACTAATTTCTTTTATCCCCTCTTCTGCAGGGCTGGTGGCTTTACCGTAATAGTAGTGGTTCTTTTGTAATCCCAGTAGCTAACCGTGAAGTAGTCTGGGCAGTGGACCAGTCACTGGAATAAAGAGATATTCCAATTTAATCACTTCAAAGCTTTGAGTCAGACACCTTTTCTCAGCCTCGTTCAGATGAGAGAACTGGACTATAAATTGATCACTAAAAGATGATATATACACAAATGGCCACCAAGCTATATATTCCTTTCCGTCTTTGGAAAGATTAGGAACTAGAACATTTGTAGATTGCACTATGAAATTGTATTCAGTAGTATTCAACCGTTTGGCATTACCACAAATCATTTATGGTGGCCACTCTAGAGAACTTGCCAGCCGAGTAAATATCACAAGGGGCTGGAGAGATGGATTAGTCCCTTAGGGCCTGTGGCTTCTTACAGAGGACTGAGTTCAGTTCCTAGCACCTATACTGGGCAGTTCACAACCACCTGTCTCTCCGGGCACTGCGCACACATCCATATCCTGACATAAATAATAAAAAATAAAATCTTAAAAATCACACAAAAATCCTTCAGTGTTTTAAGAAGGTTTATGGTCTTTTTGGTTGACTACATTTATAGCTGTTTCCCTAATTACATCTGTTACCCCCTCCCATTCTCTCCCATAGTGACCACTCTGTGCACACTGTTTTGCTGATTGCTGTGGGCCAACAGAGTCCCTGCTCCCACGCCAGCTGTCAGATCGCTGATTCTGTTAGCTACGGTGTTTTATAATCTGTTTCCTGGTTGTGCTTTAGATGCTTATATGGTTTGCTCTAGTTGTAGACCTCTTTGACTTCTTGGAGGATGTGTGGCTGTGTTAGAATTTAGGTTACTTCAAATGTATTTGTTTTTAAAGACAGGGTCTCATTTAATAGCCCAAGCTGCTCTTGAACTTGCAATTTTTCTGCCTCACTCCCAAGTGCTGGGGTTACAGGCATGTAGCCCTGTACCCAACAAAAACAGTTTTTTTGGGGGAGGCGGTCTATAGTTCGTAATGAAATAAACCATGTGCCCACTAGAGGTCACACTATACTTTTATATTATTCAAAATATCCTTTTTTTCTTAGGGTTAAGCCTGCTTAAAAGATAGATCGAGGTAGAAAAGATCCATTATTGCTTATGGATAGTATAAAAGGAAAGAAACCTTGGATGTTTAGGGAATCCATTTGTGATGAAGTGACAGTGAGATCTTGATACTCAAAATAAAAACAGGAACTTCTTACTCTGAACCACAGAGTAATTTGCACCTCTGTCATTGCTTCTGAATGATTTTATTTAGGTATAGTCATATGTAAATGCTTCCTTACATATATGATTTATTTTTATTAGTAAGAGTAAGGATTTTGAACACTGTGAATTCTGAGAGTGACTACCTAAGTCGAGTGACTACCTAAGTCACTTAAATCCTCTTTGGGCTTTCAGAATCCAAACATGCAAAAGGAATAATTGCTGCAGTAGTGTTGTGGTAAATCCTAGTGTATAGCTCAGCCTGTAGCTCATGCAGACGATAGGGTGAGTCTGCTACTGATTCTGTCCACTCAGGTACACTTTGCAGAACAATAAAGGAGTCTCTAAACTTTATTTTTGTAAGTTATGATATTTACTTTTTTGAAATAGCCATATTTTAATGAGGTTTTGATGCTGTTTTCCCTAGGACTTTTGTTCTGTTTTGTTTTTCGAGACAGGGTTTTGTCTGTGGCTTTGGAGGCTGTCCTGGAACTAGCTCTTGTAGACCAAGCTGGCCTCAAACTCACAAAGATCTGCCTGCCTCTGCCTCCCGAGTGCTGGGATTAAAGGCCTGTCTCCCTAGGAATTTTTTTTAGTTAACTTTTTTTTTTTGGAATATTACTTTTTGTGGTCCTCATGCTGTTGTCCCCTGTATGTTTTGTGTAATATCATTAAGTGTGGAATGCTACATGATTTTGAAAAATGAGTCCTGATTGGTGACAGTTTCAATGTTTTTGTAGCCTTAGTGGGTTTAATTTTATCTATACATTGCTATAGCATGCTTTGAGAGATAATGTTGGTCCTGCTATTTGTAATGCTAGACTTCAAGTATTTGACAATAAGTGAACTAATCATAAGACAGTTCATATGATCATAATGTCATATAGTTGTTGCTGAAGATGTTTTTATCATGTATCACCCAGGGACAAAAAAGTTAATCTCAGCTGCTATGTTTACAACGAGGTGGGAAGGACGATCATTTCAGCATTTAAAATAGAAGCAGTTTTGAACTTAGATGTGGTAAATAATTGTGAGTGTAAATTGACCATTGTTAACTCCAAACAGAAAGTAATTATATTGAAGGCATAGATGCTGATCTCCTCTTCACTGTAAATGTTTGACTTGGGCTGCCACACGTGACCCTAGAACAGGAATGCAGGTTGTTTGATCTGCCTGACCTTGTGGTCACACCCTTCACGTTTACACTTAACCTATAGGACAGACTGAATTTTTATATTTGAAGTGTTCCCTAACCAGTACATCCTGAATATTTTTCTTATTTGGCAGGCTTTACTGGTAGATATCCTCTCTAGGTAGGTTTTATGTGTAGGAATTGGGAGGATTTGGGGATATGTAGACCCCGGGCTGTTTTTGGTAGTCATTTACTCTTTCATGGGTTTGATAAGTCCCCCTTCACTGTTTCATTATCTGTTAAGTGAAGGCGGTTATTTGATGTGCAGTTATTGAGTTAATAGTATATTTAATGTCTAGCTTACTAATTTCATAGGTGTTGCTAAGGGTTTTATCTTTCAAGGAGATGGCTAAATTTGACATGTTTTCCCTTGTAGATAACAGACAAAAAAGTATCCAGAAGACATGCCCTTCTAGAGGTGGTGGACAATCAGCTTCGAATCAAACCAGTGGGTATATTAATTCATTTTAACCCTTTGCTTCTTCCCTTCTAATATCTGATTAGAGATGCCTGTTTATTCTAAGGTTTGGAAATAGGGAATTTATGTCAGAACAGAACCTATTCATCTCATACCTGTGAGGTAAATATCTAAAAGTAAACTGTATTTCTCATAGTTCAGAGTTGAATTTGAATGGTTAGAATTAATGGAAGCTGATTGCCTGTGTGTAAATTATAATTTTGTTCATACTGGATATGCCAAGTAATTCACATAAAAATACCTTTAACATGGGCAAAGGAGAACATTCCCTCTGTAAATGAGAACCTGAGCTCTGGTCCCTAGTGCACACGTGAAAATATATGTGTGGTGGTTTGAAAGAAAATGATCCCAAAGGGAGTGGCATTATTAGGAGGTGTGGCCTTGTTGGAATAGGTATGGTTTTACTGGAAGAAGTGTGTCACTATAGAAGTGGGCTTTGAGGTCTCATATGTGCTCAAGATACTACCCAGTGTCTCAGTCTACTTCCGGTTGCCTGCATATCAACATGTAGCAGCTCCTTCTCAAGTACCATGTCTGTTTTCACACCTCTATACTCCCCACCATGATGATAATAGACTCAGTCTCTGAAACTGTAAGCCTCCACCTCAATTAAATACGTTCCTTTATATGAGTTGTTATGATCATGGTGTCTCTTCACAGCAATAGAACACCAACTAAGATACCATGTGTGTCTGTGACCATAGTGATGAGGTGAGCTTAAGTACACCTGCAGCTTGCTGGTCAGCTGGCCTAGCAAAAATGGTGAGTTCTAGGTTTAGTGAGTGACTTCTCAAGAGAATGGAGAAGAATAGAGGACACCTGAGATCTGCCTGCTGCCTCCAAGGGACATGCGCAGTGTTCCTTTCCCCCAAACTAAAGAATACATGTAACTATGTAATGTGTGGTTTATGGGGATAGATGAGGTAGTAAGTAAACTCACTTCAGTGTTAGAAGATTTTTATCAACACATTTCTGTGGTTCTTTTTATGTAAGAATTTGTAAATTGTAGAATTTTCATTTGGAGCAATTTCTATAGGCTGGACTTCTAATCCTTTGCTTTATAGCCTGAGCATCAGTTCTTTGCAGGGTGATCACGAGACCACATATTTATCCTCTTTCAGTTGCAAACTCTGTTGTATAGGAGAATGAGTTGTGGTATGAGACCCCATTCAGTTTGAATTATTTTATTTGTGGTGTAATAAATATTATGGAACGAAATCTACTCTGACATACGACATTTAAATCATTTTCTGTTTTTACCCCCATCCTGGCTTGTGCTCTACTTCTGAGCTGTACCCTAGCCCTGTGATTTCATTGTTTCTGTATTACTGTCTATTGTGTAAGTCATTACTTCAATCTATACATGTTTTTTAAAATATACTATTTCCTTTTATTATACTATGTTGAACAGTTGTTGCAATAATAGCCTTTTAAATTTAGTACTGGGAAGACTTTTAAGTAGAACTGAATTTAACTCATCTCAACCCTGAATAAATACTGTTTTAAAGCTTTGTATGGTGGGATTGTAGGCTGGTACTCCCCTGTTTCATGCCTAAAATCCATATATGAGTGAGTACATACTGTGTTTGTCTTTTTGTGACTGGGTTACCTCACTCAGGATGGTTTCTTCTAGTGCCATCCATTTGCCTGCAAATTTCAAGATTCCCTTGTTTTTTTCTGTTGAGTAGTACTCCATTGTGAAAATGTACCACATTTTCTCTATCCACTCTTCGGTTGAGGGACATCTAGGTTGCTTCCAGGTTCTGGCTATTACAAATAATGCTGCTATGAACATAGTGGAACAGACGTCCTTGTATGAGTGTGCATCTTTTGGGTATATGCCTAAGAGTGGAATTGCTGGGTCTTGTGGTAGACTGATTCCCATTTTCCTGAGGAATCTCCATACAGATTTCCAAAGTGGGTGTATGAGTCTGCACTCCCAGCAGCAGTGGAGGAGTATTCCCCTCTCTCCACATCCTCTCCAGCATAAACTGTCATTGGTGTTTTTGATTTTAGCCATTCTGACAGGAGTGAGATGGTATCTCAGAATTGTTTTGATTTTTATTTCCCTAATGGCTAAGGGTGTTGATCACTTTCCCAAGTGTCTCTCAGCCATTTTAGACTCCTCTATTGAAAATTCTCTATTTAGTTCTGTACCCCGCTTTTTAATTGGATCCTTTGGTGTTTTGGAGACTTGCTTCTTGAGTTCTTTGTAAATTTTGGAGATCAGCCCTCTGTCAGATGTGGTGTTAGTGAATATCTTTTCCCATTCTGTGGGCTGCCTTTTTTGTCTTGCTGACTGTGTCCTTTGCCTTACAGAAGCTTCTCAGTTTCAGGAGGTCCCATGTATTAATTGTTGACCTCAGTGTCTGTGCTACTGGTGTTATGTTCAGGAAGCAGTCTCCTGTACCAATTCATTCAAGGATACCTCCCACTTTCTCTTCTAAGAGTTTCAGTGTGGCTGGATTTATATTGAGGTCTTTGACCCATTTGGACTTAAGTTTTGTGCATGGCAATAGACATGGATCTATCTGCAGTCTTCTACATGCCACTATCCAGTTATGCCAGAACCATTTGTTGAAGATGCTTTCTTTTTCCAATTGTATAATTTTAGCTTCTTTGTCAAAAATCAAGTGTTCATAATTGTGTGAGTTAATATCAGGGTTCTCAATTTGATTCCATTGGTTTACCTGTCTATTTTTGTGCCAATACCAAGCTGTTTTCAGGACTATAGCTCTATAACAGAGCTTGAAGTCAAGGATGGTGATGCGTCTGGAAGTTCCTTTATTGTATAGGGTTGTTTTGGCTATCCTGGGTCTTTTGCTTTTCCATAGAAAGTTGATTATTTTTCTTTCAATGTCTGTGAAGATTTGTGCCAGTATTATGATATTGCATTGCATCTGTAGATTGCTTTTGGCAAGATGGCCATTTTTACAGTATTGATCCCACCTATCCAAGAGCATGGGGAGGTCTTTCTATTTTCTGGTATCTTCTTTAATTTCTTTCTTTAAAGACTCAAAATTCTTGCAATACAGGTTTTTCACTTGTTTGGTTAGCATTATCTTCAGATATTTAATGTTGTTCTGGACTATTGTAAAGGGTGATATTTCTCTGATTTCTTTCTCAGCCCATTTATCGTTTGTTTATAATAGGGCTACTGATTTTTTTCAGTTAATCTTGTATCCTGCCGCTTTGCTGAAGGTGTTCATCAGTTCTAGGAATTCCTGAGTAGAGTTTTTCAGGTCACTTATGTAAACTAACATATCATCTGCAATTAGTGAAAGTTTGGCTTCTTTCTTCCCAGTTTTTATCTTCTTGATCTCCTTTTGTTGTCTTATTGCTTTAGCTAGAACTTTAAGTATGATATTGAGGAAATATGCAGAGAGTGGACAGTCCTGTCTTGTTCCTGATTTTAGAGGAACTGTGTTGAGTTTCTCTCCATTTAATTTGATGTTACCTGTTGGTTTAGTATTTTGCTTTTATTATGTTCAGGTATGTTCCTGTTATCCCTGATCTCTCCAGAACCTTTATCATGAGGGTGCTGGGTTTTGTTAAAGGCTTTTTCAGCATTGAGTGAGATGATCATGTGTTTTTTCCTTTGCAGTTTGTCTATATGCTAAATCACATTGATAGATTTTTGTATGTTGAACCATCCTTGCATCCCTGGAATGAAGCCTACTTGATCATGGTGGACGATTCTTCTGATGTTTTCTTGAATTCTATTTGCCAGTATTTTATTGAGTATTTTTGCATCAATGTTCATGAGCAGTATTGTTCTGTACTTCTCTTTCTTACTTGTGTCTTTGTGGGACTTGGGTACCAAGGTAATTGTAACCTTGTAGAAAGAGTTTGGCAGTGAACCTCCTGCTTCTATTCTTTGGAACACTTTGAGGAGTATTGAAATTAGCTCTCCTTTGAATTTCTGGTAGAATTCTGCACTGAAGCCATCTGGGCTTTTTTTTTGTTGGGAGACTTTTGGTGACTGCTTCTATTTCATTAGGGGTTATGAGTCTGTTTAGATTGCTTACCTGTTCTTGATTTAATTTTGGTGAGTGATATATCTCCAGAAAATTGTCCATTTCCTTTAAATTTTCGAATTTTGTGGAGTACAGGTTTTCAAAGTATGACCTGATGATTCTCTGGATTTCCTCAGTGTCTGTTGTTATGTCCCCCTTTTCATTTCTGATTTTGTTAATTTACATGCTCTTGCTCTGCCTTTTGGTTAGTTTGGATAAAGGTTTGTCTATCTCATTGATTTTTCTCAAAGAACCAACTCTTTGTTACATTGATTTTTTTTTGTATTGTTTTCCTAGTTTCTATTTTATTGATTTCTGCTCTCAATTTGATGATTTCCTGGCCTCTACTCTTCCTGGGTGAGTTTGCTTCTTTGTGTTCTAGAGCTTTCAGCTGTGCTGTTAATTCTCTAGTGTGACTATTCTCCAGTTTCTTCATGTGAGCATTTAGTGCTATGAACTTTCCTCTCAGCATTTCTTTCAAAGTGTCCCATAAGTTTGGGTATGTTGTGTCTTCATTCTCATTGAATTCTAGGAAGTTTTTAATTTCTTTTTTATTTCTTCCTTGACCCAGGGATGGTGAAATTGCACTTTGTTCAGTTTACATGAGTTTGTTGGGTTTCTGAGATTTGTGTTGTTGTTGAATTCTAACTTTAAAGCGTGGTGGTCTGAAAAGATACAGGTGGTTATTCCAATTTTTTTTGTATCTGTGGAGGCTTGCTATGTTTCCAGTGTATGGAAGACAGAATCCATCCTTCTGCTGCATATAAGAAACACATCTTAACGTCAAAGACAGATGTTACCTCAGAGTAAAGGGTTGGGGAAAGATTTTCCAATCAAATGGACCCAAGAAACAAGCTGGTATAGCCATCCTAGTATCTAACAAATTAGACTTCAAACTAAAATCAATCAAAAGAGATGAAGAAGGACATTTTGTATTCATCACAGGAAAAGTCCATTAAGATGAAGTCTCAATGCTGAACATCAATGCCCCAAATACAAAGGCACCCACATTCCTAAAAGAAATGTTGCTAATGCTCAAATCACACATAAAACATCACACACTTATAGTGGGAGACTTCAACAAACCACTCTCACCCCTGGACAGGACCACCAGACAGAAACTTAACAAAGAAACAAAAGAACTAATACAAGTCATGACCCAATTGGGTTTAACAAACATCTGTAGAATATTCTATCCAAACACAAAAGAATATACCTTCTTCTCAGCTCCTTCTCTAAAATCGACCACATAATTGGAAACATAGCAAACCTTGTTTTTTTTAAAAGAGATTTGTTTATTTCTTGCAATTTTTTTGGTTTGTCTTTTCTTCCATTCCTTGAATTTTTTGTTTGTTTTTTTCCATTTCTTTAAGGGATTTTCTCATTTCATCTTTGATGGTCTCTATCATCTTGATAAAGTTGTTTTTAAGGTCATTCTCTTCTGCTTCATGTGTGTTGGGATGCTCAGGTCTTGCTGGTGTAGAGTCCCTAGACTCTGGTGGTATCATATTGGTCTTTCTGTTGTTGAATGCGTTCTTATACTGTCATCTTCCCATCCCTTCTTCTAGTGGGTGACAGTGGGATCTCTCTCTCTCCTGGTGGTTACCCGTCCAAGGTTCTCGTCTGCTGGGTGCAAGCAGGTTCAATACTCCAATGAATCTCCTCTTCCCATGGGTGGAGGCAAGGCTAGCACCATGATGTAGGCAGACTCTGGATTGCTTGGTCCACTGGAATAGTGTCTCCCCACCCTCCCCCCGTGCAGTCCCTGGGCCAGGAGAGTCTGAAAAGGGCAAGCAGAAAAAAAGGGCTGGAAACAGGCCTCGACTCACCTCTTCTTGTGAATGGAGGTGGACTAGCACCCAAATGTAGGCAGACTCTGGATGGCTTGGTCTGCTGGGTGCAGTCCCCAGGCCAGGAGAGTCCGAAAAGGGCAAGCAGATGGTGGGTTGGAGACAGGAAGGTATCATGTTCTTAAAATTACTTCCTGCTGTCCTGGGTGACAGCATCTTTGGGGATCCTGAGTAAACCGGGATAATGGTCAAGTCATGGGAGAGCTAGCTGTTGTCTAGTCTCAGTGTGATGGGCAAGTGCAGGGCTTCTCTGGACTGGACCTCTCAGCTAGCCACCTTGAAATTTCCCTGAGCAGTTTGTAGTGCAAAGCTGATCTTTGGGTGGTATTTGTCAGCTTAGTGATGTTACCACAAATCCAGGTGGAATCATCATTGTACAGCCCCATCATCTTCTTGGAGACCTCAAAGGTCACTGGCAGGAATGGTTGTAGTACACTGCAGAAAACCAACATTTCAAATGTCATATGTGGCAGATCTCCCAGAGGTTAAAGGACCAAAATCTATTAAATATATCTCGGGCACACAAACTTACTTCCTAGTTACTTGCTTCAGACTCAAGCCTGAAATCACATACAGGAAGCTAGATGTGCCTATTCCTAGAATTATTAATATAGTATATGTCATTAATATCATGACAAAAAGTACATATATAGATATACAATAATCTTATAAATTTTGGTATAATATTTACACCTTAAGGAAAGTTTTAAATAGTCAAAATAAAACCAAAGGATTATGAGGTTAGTGACAATAGAATAGTCCATTAATTTTGGTTTTCTTCTGTGACATACCAGGTGGCTTTTCTGACATGAGACAGATTTTGGATTTTTCTTTAACAAACATGTTTTGGTTTAGAGAAGGAGAGAGCCATGCTCCAGCTCCAAAGCCAGCTTTAATTTTTAATTGAATTGGAACTACAAAAATACCATTTGCCTTATATGTCTGTACAGAACAACAGAAATAAACATTTGGGAAGATTTATGAAATTCTGTCCTGTTAGAGATGTGATATATCAATAGGTCAGTTTACTCTTTTTCTTAGGACATTTTTCTCTTGATGATTTGTCTTTCTTCTAATGTCCATAGTTGGATGCCCCAACCCTAACTTTGGGGACTTCCCTTTTTTGGCAGGTTCTATCCAATCAAATAAAAAGCATTTGTTAGTCTTATAAGTTAGTTCAGATTGAATGGTCATGCTATTTGATGAACTATCGCCTCTCCAAATCAAGAGGTCTTTCCTGTTTGAATATAATCCTTAGCAATCTTGATGGTATCTATAGCTTTTCTGTGGAAACAAAAGCAAAACCTCTTCCCCAATATAACACATCCTGGTTTCCATTCTGAGGTCAACACATCTTTAAAGTAGTTTTTTTCTACTAGCAAATGTCTCTCTACAGCTGTTGTTCCTTTCTCAGTAGCATTAAAAAGTTTAAAGATAATGCAGGATTGTGTAATATATCTCTGGGGATCTTTATTACCCCTTTCTCTTTATTAAGCATATCTTGTAGAGTTTGATTTGATCTTTCTATAACTACTTGTTCTGTAGGATTGTGTGGTATACCTATTGTATGCTTTTGTTGTATATGCAAAAAACTTTCTTTTTACTTGAGACATGCTGGAGCATTCATTCTTATTTTGTACAGGTTTTCTCATAATATGTATTTTCTAATAAATGTGTAATTATAGAATCAGTCTTTTCAAGACTCAAAGTAGTTGCCAATTGAAATCCTGAAAAAGTATCCATGGTGTGGTGCCCATACTTTAATTTTCCAAACACTGCAAAATGAAACACTTTTGCCAAATTTCATTTCTTTGAGTACCTTTTGGCTTTGGCAATAGAATTTGGTATATGAAGAACAAATAGGACATTTCCTTAAAATTTCTTTGGCTTGTTGCCAAGAGACAGAAAAATCTTTCTTCAAACCTTTGCTATTAACATATTTCTTATGACATTCTGTCTTGGGGTACCTATTATCTGGTGGTTGTTCTCCTGTGATAACTGGATAAACTAAGGTTGGTTTTCTAATGATCCTGGGCCATTCCTCTTCAGTTTCATCATACAGTAGTGCAGTTGGTTCTGCTCTAAATTCCTCTGTCTGTGAATATTTTTATTAATTTGTAGGTCTTTCTAAGGCTTGCATTTTATCAGTCATTTTTTCATACTTGGCACAGTTATCAAACCACTTTCTAAAGGTAAGATATAAATTACCAAACTGATAATAATTATAATCGACATTATGTCCATCTCAGCTAAATTAGTTATCCCTTCATTTATTTTTTCCATTTTCAAGTCTTCCATTTTAGAACTATTTAGAGTCCTAACTCCCTGCAATGTAATAATTTTCCCCAGTCTTAATGTGGGAAAGATTTTTTTTAAATAAAATCTAATTCCCTCCTTAAGAATTCCCAGGTGTCTCACTAGATCTGACTTTTCAGTTTTTCCACAACAATGATGGCAGAGCTGTGTGTGTGTGATGGGGTGCTTGGCTGTGTGTTGTAGATTTGGTAACTGCCTGATCATTTGATGTTTTTAAACCAAGCTTTTGTAATTCTTTGGAAAATGTTATTGCATAAATGATGATATTCTCCATTCTTAGGCAGTGATATGTATGTGTACAAATATATACATACATACAAACATACAACATACATACGTATATTTAAATGGCTGATCAATAAAAAATGCTGAGTGATTAAGTTGGTATATTAGGGAAATTGTTGATTTCTCTAGAAAACAATAATTCAGCATGATGTAATAGAGGAAGAAGTCACAGGGAATTATTCTGTATTAGACTTTATTGAAAAAAATCACAGATTTTATATTGTTTTGTTTGCATTACCATAGATTGTGTTATCATATAGTAAGGCGTCTTTTTTTTTTTTTTTTTGGTTTTACAAGACAGGGTTTTTCTGTATTGTTTTGGAGGCTGTCGGACCAGCCTGGCCTCGAACTCACAGAGATCCTCCTGCCTCTGCCTCCCTAGTGCTGGGATTAAAGGTGTGCACCACCACCGCCTGGTAAGGCTTCTTTATTTAAAAACCTAATAGTAATTATAAAACAATTGGCTATTTGACTTACAGAAACAGCCAGTTTTACCTTGATTATATTTAAGATTTTTAATTACATGTGTGTGTATGTGTGTGCATGTGCGTGTGTGTGTTTGTGTGTGTGTGTGTGTGTGTGTGTGTATACATGTATGTGTAGAGAGCACAGGACAGCTTGCTGAAGTTGGTTCTCTCCTCCCACTGGTTAGTCCTCAGGTGTGGTGGCAGACATCTTTACCTGTTAAGACTTCTCACCAGTTCCTATTTGCAAATTTTGAAGTGTCTTTCAGTAGATATTTTAAAAATTACTTTTGAGGAAACTAATTATCTTTGCTAATATGGAGGCAGTCAGTGGAAAAATGTAATCTAAAATGATTAATGCAGTAATAGTTTTGTCCTTGATATGTGTTAATTACTTGTGATTTCAATCTAAATGATATTCATGGAAGGGATTTTATTTAAAAGTAAAATTATTCTTCAAGACAGCTAGAAAGAAAACAGTTATGCTTGAGATATTTGATCACCATCTCCTGCCTCATGGTTTTTCACTTGTTCAATTGTGTCATAAATTATTAGGAGACAATAACTAGCAAAGAAATACTATTGACAGGGAATTTGTACACTTTGGGTAAACAGTAGGGATCCTTCCCATATTGAGAATTATTTTTTCATCTTTCTTATCCATTGAGTAGTTTATTTAACTAATCAATTAATGATTTTTCTTGTTATCTTGGATTCCATCAGAAACAGGAGGTCGAACCCTTTTTACATGTAAATTGTTATGGTATTAGGTGCCAGGCTTACTAAACTTTCAAGTATAATTTTGTACTTAATTATTTTGATAACAAAATTGTGGATCATTTCATATTTAGTTGTATTTTTCACAATCCTGGTGCATCACTGTATTCTTTATTGGTTAGATCCATGCGAATCTGTGTTTCCATCAGTCCTCTGATAAGAGCCAGCTCTTGCCAATGAAGACACATTCGTGGTGCTGGTTGAATCCTGGGGATAGCTTTTCCTTGTTACTCAACAAGTACTCTTTCCGTGTTTTCTCTACACAAGCTGAAGAGGAAATGGAGTGCACTTTACGGTAAGCCTGCCTGGTGAAATGAGAGTGAGTAATGGTGTTTGTATCTGCCTCCTCCACCTTTACAAATGCTTCAGTGAAAATCATCCAAGGCTTGAGTCATATTTGGGCTATAGTAGCCACATAATTTGTGTTTCTGGAAAACATTTGGCTTTGGACATATATGCCTTGTGGTTTGCTTCAATGTGTGCTGTCCTTGACCTTTGTATTCCTAATGTTTCCACCAAACAAAACTAACTACATGTTTCCTTGAATTTTTAGCTTTATTAAAATGTTAAGTTATTCTGATTTGTATCACTGACTTACCTAATAAGAACATCATAAAGTACAGAGTAGGAGAACTGAAGAAATGACAGAGTTCAAACACTAGGACTATAGAATTAAGTGTAAATATTGACATATACATTAGGTATTTCTTGATATCATTGAGGTTTTCATGTATGTTAGAATTATCTCTACTTTGCATTGCCTACCACAACAAAAATGTAAGATTGTTGTTATCAGTCTTGTGTTCATCTGCTCACACTGAAAAACTGATACATGGTAGAAAAGAGCTAAGAGTCATCAGCCTAAAATGTGGAGGAAGCTTTCTTCTCCCCAGAAGACCATCTTGGGGACCTAAGTATAGGGAAGGGCTTATATAGAGATGGAGAGGAGAGGTATATGGGCAGCGGTGGGAAGACCATGTGCTGGACAAGGATTTGTCTTGTTTTTGTTTGTTGTTGGTTTTTCTTTTCTTTTTGGTTTTTGAGACAGGGTTTCTCTGTGTAGCCCTAGCTGTCCTGGAATTTGCTCTGTAGCCCAGGCTGACTTCAAACTCAGAGAGCCTCCTGCCTCTGCCTCCTGAGTGCTGGGATTAAAGATGTGTGCCACCACTGCTGGCTGGACAAGGTCTTAAGACAGTATCTCCACCATTAACCATGGACATTTTCTTTGTCTTTTTTTCCTAACTGGAAGCTAGCAACTCCTAGGGCTAATTCCTTTAGACAAGCATATTACTTTTTTCTGCAGGTTACCCATTCTGGCAATTCACATGCTCTGTGTTAATTAATTTACAGATACAGGATAAGGAGGGATGTCATGGTTTTTGATGTTATCTGAGAGTTGCAAGATGGTCTAGGTTTTAAAGAAAGATTGTTTTGCAGTTAGTCACCTAAGTATTTGTATAGAATGTAGACTAGAGGACAAAGGAAGGGAAGTAAAAGCAACAGCCAAACACATCTCCACTGTTAAATATGACATAAGTTTCATATATTTGAACACTGAAATCTTCATAGCAATGAGTGTGAGGGATTCATAGCAATAGCCTATCTGTGTTGCAGTTGAAGGAAGACAGAGAAGGTTTGAGACTTGCCTAGGGTTACATAATAGGCCTAGATTCTAGATTCGAGCCAGCTCTTCCAGAATGATGCTCTTCCAGACTACCCACCACTCAACCAGAGTGCCTGGCTGCACTCACTGTGAAAATACTCGGGGAATGGGAAAGTCAGCCTGGAATAGTCACAGATTGGAAAGAAAGAGGGAGGAAGGGGGAGAGAGAAGGAAGGGAGGGAGGGAGGGAGGAAGAGAGAAAAAGAGGGAAGGAGAGATCCTCATTAAAACCTGGGCAAATCTCATTGTAATGTAACAACAAATAACCTTAAAATTCATTTGTAATTACAGACAGGGTATGGATTTTGATGGGAGAGGAGCTGGGAGGATGATGGAGGAGTTGAGGGAGGAAAAACATAATCAGACTATATTATATAAAAATAATTTATCTTTAATTAAAGAAAAATGAAAAGGAAAGTAAAAATGCATTTGTAATTATTTTAAAATCAGTTGATTTGTATTAGTAGCATATTTTGTATTAAAGATATAAAAGCAAGTAGCATATTTGAACATAATTTAGAATATATTTTGAACCCTTAGAGATAACTGCCAAAACAAACTTAAATATGAAGAATATTAATGAAGAACTCACATTTCCAAATTTCAAAACCTGCTGTGAAATCAAGACAGTGTGGTCCTGGCATAAAGACAGTGGAGTTGAGGGTTCAGAAATTAGCCCTTACGTTCATGGTCTTTACTTCTGACAGGGACATCAATACTGATTAAACAGGGTGAAGTCAATCGTCCAGACAGTCTGGAACAGCAGATATCCTCATGAAAAAGTGAAGTTAGACTTTCACTTTACATCACATAAGAATCAAAATGGATCAGAGACCTAAATATGAAGAGGGAGAGTGTAGGTATACACCTTTACCTTCTGCTTCAGGCGTCCTAAATACGAAGAGGGAGAGCGTAGGTATACACCTTTACCTCCTGCTTCAGGTGACCTAAATATGAAGAGGGAGAGTGTAGGTATACACCTTTACCTCCTGCTTCAGGTAATGGCTTCACTAGTCTAACATCAAAGCAACAGCAAAGGCAGGAGCATTAGAGAAATTGGATTTCCTTCCATTTGAAAACATGTGCTTATAAGAGCACAGCCAAGAAACAAAAAGGACAAGTGAATTACAAAAATTCATACATCATATATGACTATAGTATATTTATGTCTAGAATATATAAGCAGTTCTAACTCAACAACACAAAGTCAGTTTTAAAATGTGCAACTGATTAGAATAAATATTTCCAAACATGAAAAGATAGCATCATTAGTCACTTGGAAATTTAGGTCAAGTCCACAATGAGATACTTTTAAGAATTTGAAAAAAATGCACATTAAGCTACTAGGCAGCTAAAACCAAAGACATTGGTAAATGTTGATGTTAACATATGGAGAAACCAGAACTCTCATATACTGTGTGGTGTTGTGAGGCATATTCTGATAAGTTTTTAGACTTTTAAAAATAAAAGCAGCTGTTTGTCCTGGCATCCCCAAATTGAAAACATGTGTTCACATGAAAGCTTATACATTGATGCTCACAGTGACATCATTTGTAATAGACTAAGTGAGAAAACAAGCCAAATGTCTGTCAACCTTTGAGTTAGTAAACAAATATGGGATAATCTTGATATGGGATATAGTTCCTGCCATTGAAATTCAAGTCTGCCTTTGAAATTTATCATTCCTTACTTTGAAGCTACTAAAAGAACATTTCAAATCTACGAATCAGACTTCAGTATACATTTCTGAAATCTCTCATCTTCAGTTTTAAAGGTCTATTTATTTTCATGTTATGTGTGTGTTTGCCTGGGTGTATGTGTGTACACCATATATATGCTTCATATGTGTGCCTCTGGCTGCAGAGACCAGAAGAGGGTATTGGACCTGGAGTAACAGATGGTTGTGAGTCATCATATGGGTACTGGGACCTAAACCTAAGTCCTTAACCACTGATTCATCTCTCCTACTCTGGCCCAGGACTTTTAAAGACTAATGTATGATGTGATAAAATATGTGGCCAGAGGGGGGGGGAAACATTTTACTATAAACTGTTTTTAGTTTTTTTAAGTTTGACAAAAGGAGCCCAATACCCCACTGAGAAGTCTTGAGCATAGAACTGAACAGCCTCAAGGTTGCCATCAGAAGTGTTGTAAAGATAGTAAACAAAGTTCTGTTTTATTTTATAGGAACAGTCAAATACTTGATGAAGATGATGTGTTGAGTGAGATGCAGAAGTCCCCTGTAATCAATTTACCTGATAAGACAACTGGAACTTCACAGCTGCAAGGAAGCCCCGAAATAACCAAGGGCAGGTGTACCGCCATAGAGCCCATGGTGAGAAACTTAGCCCCGAAATAACCAAGGGCAGGTGTACCGCCATAGAGCCCATGGTGAGAAACCTAGTCCCGAAATAACCAAGGCCAAGTGTACCACCATAGTCTATGGTGAGAAACTTAAGAAGCACCTTCCTAAGATGGTCTTCATCTCACGGAAAGACAACAGAAATCATGCATATTATAATGCCCGCAGCATTGGTCTGCTTTTGTTGTTTTTAAGTCTGTAGAGAATGTCCCATTAGACTGATACAAACCAATAGGTAATGAATTTCTTGTCAGAAATTTAACTAGTTGAGTCTACAGTTGTGGGTAGCTCTGTTAATGGTAATTTTCTTTAGGGAATCATTTTGCAAACTTACTTTAGGAATTACTGTATGGGTGCTGTTTCAGTCCTCTGCAGGTGCACGTGGGGACATCTGTGAGCACCAGCTGCAACCCGCCCAGAGGAAAAGAATCCTCCCAGCTTGGATGTTAGCAGAAAGCTTAAGTGATCAGAACCTTTCAGCACCTGCTAAGGGTGTAGGTAGGTTTTTTTTTTTTTTTTTTTTTTGCTAATGTTGAGTTTCAAGGAAACATTAAAGACAGTTTAAAGGTTTTTCTGAGAAAATAAGTATAGAGGTGGTTGCACATGGTATGGGTTAACCTGGGACTTTAAATTCTGTTCTCTCTCTCTCTCTCTATTTATTTTGAGACATGATCTTACACATGTTATGTCCCTGCCTCAGTCCCCCGAGTGCTGGAGTTGCAGTTGGGGTCTGCTATGCCTGCTTACCTAAGATTTACTTTTAGATGTGTATGGAATATAATTCAAAACATAAGCTGTTACTTTATGGCATTTGTCAAACCATCTGTCCACTGATACCTTGTTGAGCATGTAGTGTTCCTCTGTTATTGTTAGATACACTGTTAATATATATCCTCAGATGAGCTGTTAATACATATCCTCAGGTGAGCTGTTGGTGTCTCATCTGAGGTAAAAGGGCATCACAACCAAATATTTAAAAATAGTTAAATAAGATAATGCCAGGTACACAGTATGTGTGCAGTGAGATTTAAGGACATTCGTTTGGCCCAGCTTACTGTCATGGCAGACACCTCAGTGATTTATGTCTTTCTGCTGGGTAGCCATTATTTCATATCTATCTATCTATCTATCTATCTATCTATCTATCTATCCATCCAGTCACTTATTTATTTATTTCTTCTCTCATATAACATATCCCTACTGAAGCTTCCCCTCCCTCTTCTCCTTGCAGTCCTTCCTCCTACCTCCCGTCTTCTCCAGTTCCACTCCTCCATTTCCCTTCAGAAAAGGGCAGGCCTCCCAGGGATATCAACCAAACATGGTATATCAAGTTGCAATAAGATTAAGTTCCTCCCCTTATATTAAGGCTGGATGAGGTAACCCAGTAGGAGGAAAAGGGTCCCAAAAGTAGGCAAAAGAGTCAGAGAAAGTTCCTGCTCCACTGTAGGACTCAGCTGTGCACCATAACGTGCATGCAGAGTGCCTAGGTCAGGTCTATGCAGGCTCCTTGGTTGTCAGTTCAGTCTCTGGGAGCCCCTATGAGCCAAGATTAGTTGGTTCTGTGGGTTTTCTTGTGGCGTTCTTGACCCCTCTGCCTCCTATAACCCTTCCTACCCTCTGCTGCAGGGTTCTCTGAGCTCCACCTAGTGTTCTACTGTATATTACTACTATTTTGATGTGATTGATAGTTCTATATAGACAGTTGCTGTGTGGTGATTTATTATTTATGATTTATTAAAGCTTACCTGAGGATTCAGAAATCAAAGTTAGCCACAAACCATAGAAGCCTGGTTCACACTTTAATCCCAGCAGCAAGAATTTAGGAGGTGGTGGTACCCACCTTTAATCCTAGGACTCAGGATTAAGAGATAGATGAGTCTTTCTGAGTTCAAGGCAACCCAGGGTTACATGAGATTTAATCAGTTTAAAAGAATAACAGATCACATGCCTTTAATGATAGCACTAGAGTGGTATAAAAGATAGAAGCAGGGTCTTCAGTATTCAGTAGGAGGCTTTTTACACTGAGGAGAAGCAGCAGTTTGAGACTTGGTGAAGAGCTCATGCGTGGATCAATCTTTTCAGCCAGAGCTAAAGGTGAGAGCTAGTGGCCGGCTGCTTTGCTTTTCTGATATTAAAGCTTGAAGTGTGAACCCAAATATTAGTCTCTGGGTCATTTATTTTTTGTGTTTTATTGCTGAATGCTTACACAGCCTCAGGGATGAACCCGATTGGGATGGTGAGGAGAAATGAAGACAATATAAACACATGGACACACAGAAACACAAAAAATCTTGAGTTGAGTAAACTTGGCTCTGATAGAAAAACTGCAGCACTCTGGAAGCTCAGCATGCCTGTTGTGTGTGCTTGTGTGTGTGTGTGTGTAGTTGAATATCTATGTAGTGTATATATAGTTGAACAGGGCAAGGAGTCATACAGCTGAATAGGAGGCAGATTTATAACATACAGCTAAACATGTAGCTGAACAAGGAGGCAGGCTTAGGTAATCTCAGTAGAGCTGTCTCCGTAGGAGTGATCTTCAGGCCATTAATATCCAGAGGGAGAAAACTATGATAGATGTTTTCTGTACACATCGTCAGTATCCACACTCTGACTCCTGTGGAAGCTTTGCCACTCCCATGGGCTGAGACATTGCAGTCAACAACACATATTCACTCAGGGCTTCCTTTACTCCCTGCAGCCCGTGTTCTATTGACATTTATTCCCTGAACTGCTTTAAGCCCTTTGGGTGTCCTTCAGATTTAGGTTAAGAGACTGATGGCCATAGGCCACATCTGACCGTTGCCTGTTTTGGTGAGTAAACTTGTATTGGAATACAGCCATGCTCATCTGTCTGTATCTAATAGCTACTGTTTGTTATGAGGCAGAGTTGAGTAGCCATAGTAGATACCCTATAGTCCTCTACTGTAGCATGAATAATAAAAACTTGGAGACAGATACTGGGGTTAAAGCTAAAGATCAGAGAAGCAAAGTGGCCAGCTACTAGCTCTTACTTCTATCTTAGACTGAAAGAGTGACCCCGTCTCCACAAATCCTCAGATTGAATCCGATTGCAGGTCTCCACCCAACCTCAGACTGCACTCCGGCTGCCTCAGATTGCATTTCTCTCTTGTCTTCTCCCACCTTATATTCCTGTCTCCACCCAGCCATATCACTCCTGTTTCCACCACCTTAGTGCTGGGTTTAAAGCGTGTCACTCTTAAGTGCTGGGATCACCCTTAAGAGTTCTCTTCTAGACTCCATCAATTTCCTGTAGCTCAGGGTGGCCTTGAACTAACAGAGATGCATCTACTTCTGTCTCCTGAGTGCTGGAATTAAAGGTGTGTGCCACCACTGCCTGGCCTCTGTGGCTAACGAGTGTGGCTGCTGGGATTAATGGTGTGTACTACTATTGCCTGGCCTCTATGGCTAACTAGTGTAGTTAGCTTTGCACTCTGATCTTCAGGCAAGCTTTATTTGTTAGATCATAAACAAAATATCACCACATTCCATTTTGTAGATACAAACAAGATTCAGAGTTTCAGTAAAACAGTTAAAGTGGATCCAGTGTGTCTGAGCCTGGTGCACTCTGGACTTGGAGTTCTTGGCCACTATGCTGCTTAGTGCTGTTTGAGATTTGTAAATGAGTGTTTCCCAGTGGACATTACTGTAAATGTAATTTTGATTTTTCAGGTGTCCATTTCTATCACTCTGGGCTACAATCCCTTAAGATAGGGTCTCTTACTGAGTCTGAAGCTCCCTGGGTTTGGCTTCTCTGGCTGGCATCGACCCCACATGATCTTTGTCTTTGTCCCCACGCCTGAGTTCTGGGATTACAGGCCCACAGAGCTTTTTCTTGTGTTGATGCTGTATATTCAAACTCAGATCCTTAAGCTTGCATAACAAATTATTTTAGCCACTGAGCCGTTTCTCGGCCTGCGAGTCACTTGCTAGTTTATCCTTTTTAGTCATGTGGAGTATTGACCTTTGAAGATTCAGGAAGTAATTTTCTTCTTGTTCTTTGTATGTGCGTGTTTGTGTGCATGTTAGATAAGGATGCTATCCAGAGGAGTGGAAAACAAGGAACCTGCGAAGATAAAACCCCAGTAAACAAAGAACAGCATGGAAGAAAGAGATTAATTTCACCAGGAAATTTGGAAAATATGTCAGCAGAACAGGATCCTGGGAAAAAATGTAAAAGTTCTGATCAAGAAGGACTGGTTGTTTCATCCAAGGTGACTAAATACGTGTTGTTTATTTTCTTTATCTGGTATTTGAGACAGGAATCACTTCTTTTCAGCCCTTTGCATAAGAAGTGATAGAAATAAATCATGTGCTCAATTTATCAATTTATCAAACTAAGCTGCCCCCTTTTTGCATTTATATAGCTATAAACTTGCTCTCTCTGTCTGCCTATCTGTCTGTCTGTCTCTCTGCCTATCTATTTTTGTAAGAGGATGCTGGATCTCCTGGAACTAGAGTTATAGATACTTGTGAGATGCTATGTGGGTGCTGGGAATTGAGCCTGGGTCCTCTGGAAGAACAGTCAGTGTTCTTAACTGCTGGTCCATATTTCTTGCCCTCCTTTTTAATTTTTTTTGTTGAAGTTAATTTTTAATATGGAGGGAGACTTTGCATTGTAGCATAATATTTCAGAGTAGAAAAAGGTGGAGACCTCTTGGTTCAGCCTGTATTCTGAATGCCTGGTTGCTGTCATATGTGGACTTCATGTGACCACTGTGAGAACGTTGAGGAGAACACATGGCAGAGGGGTCCTCACAGTGCCACAGGATCACTCTGCTGGGACTCTCAGAGCATGTGCAGACCTTTCATTCCTCTCAGTTTGTACCAATCCTCTAGAATGCTTTGGAATAGTTTGGCAGAATTGACATTTCTTTCTTTTCTTCTTCTTTTTTTCTTTTTCAAGACAGGATTTCTCTGTATTGCTTTGGAAGTTGTCCTGGAACTTGACCAGGCTGGCCTCGAACTTACAGAGATCCGCCTGCCTCTGCCTCCCAAGTGCTGGGATTAAAGGCTTGTGCCACCAACGCCTGGCTTAGAATTGACATTTCTTAATGTCAGATATTTAGAAAGAAATGAGAACTGTCTATTACATGAAGTTTTCATTTTTTTAACTTGGAAGTTGTAGCACATTTTATTAACATAAACCAGACTTTAAAAAAATCAATAATTTTATTTAACCTCTGGGAACTACCCTCTTTATCATTCTACTCTTACCTACTTACCTGAGTTTTCCTCTCCCTCCAAGTCCCATCAAGTTCACTTTGTGTTGCATAACTGGTCTTCAGAGTGATGACTGCCTGGGTATGTGACTGATCTACCAGGGGTCACATCATTGAAGAAAACTGACTCCCTTTCCCAGAAGTTACCAAATGCCTTAGTTAGTGGGAAGATCATGCTCACCTTCTCCCTCTAGCCAGATTCTGTGTATCCTGAGCTTGCACAGGATTTGTATATACCGATGCATCTTAACAGGAAACAATAGAGGTGGCCCCAGCACAGAAAGTCCAGGCCTTTTTCTTCCTTTGACAGTGGTAACTGAAGGTGACAGTTTTCATGGTGGTTTGGCAGCTGACTGAGCTCCGTGGGTCTCTTAGTCTCAGGAAGCCAGGCTGGTCTTCCCTGGTGGAGGGTATACTGCGTCATTGAATACCAGCAACTACCTTCACTCCCACTTCTTCCCTCAGGGAGAGAGCAGACTCTCCCTAGCACCTCTCCCAGCTAGAGAAGTGGATCCAGTCTCTAAGACTCAGCATCTTTGCTTACTGATGGGGTCAATTATAATAAATCAAAACGAGATGAATTCTGGCTCATATATATTTGCCTTTAAATCTTATTAAAATGCAACTTGTATTATACAAACTTTTAGTCTTCATATATTTTGAACGGTGAATGTATCGATTCACTTTGCGTATTTTACAAGAAATTAGTTTCATAGAGAATCTAATATATATGTTTAATATATTTCAACCTGACTAAGTTTGATAATTATAAGACTTTAAGAAATGTCTTCTTAGCTAATAGGTGGGAGAGAAGTTGTAAGCAGATCCAAGTTAGTTAAGACGTTTTTGAGGTTTTGATGAGATCAAGAGAGTATAATATATACAGGAGGGGCTACAGACTCTGCTTGGTCAATTGTTCTTCCCATGAGGGTCTTGAGGGAGCTTTACCTCTCTTTGTTTTAGTAGAAAAAAGGTCCAAACTCTCATAACCTCTGTGCTGGGCTCTAGAAAAGTTGAGCCAGAGAACATGGCTGAACCTGAACCCCCAAGCCAGACCTGGTGAAGCTGACCCTCCATGCCTGCCCTGTTTCTGTCTTAGTTGTTATCCCTAGAGAGTAGTCGGTATCGAAGGGCTAGCATAGTGAAGAACAGGGAGCCAAGTTCATGTTGAGAGAAAACAAAAAGTTGGCCGGCCTATCTAGTCTGATATGTAGAGGTGCCTTACAAGACCTCAGAGCAACTGTCCAGGACTGTAGAGTAGGCATTTTCTTACAAAAGATTGGAAACGGAAGTGGAAATAAGGGGCAGAAATCCCTTCTGGCCTCTTTCCTGAAATTTGACTCATTTAATCCACAGCCTGTGTACAATTAGTGCCTTAATGTACTCCTGGGATTTGAACATGCCTTCAAGGATAACTATTGATACGTTATCCTTCAGCACCTGGGGGAGCTGAAGTCCAAGGCCACACTGCTAGGAAACTCTGGTGGACAGAGTAGGTGCTTTTGTGTACAGTGGTTTCCACTGAGCACAGTAGGCTATGGGCGAGTTTTCTGGCTAGCATTCTTTTCTTCATGAAGTTAATTGTTCTCATAGTCCAGGGTTTTGTCAGTCCTCACGGGTCTTCTGTAGTCCTTACAGCTTATGTATCTGTCCAGCTTATGGCCAAAGTGAGGACTCTTGAATCAATGAAAAGGTTACTGCTGTGGTTTAGACATTTTGTGTCCTCTAAAAACTCTGCTGAAGCTTACTCTCCCCATGCAGTAGCATTAGCAAGTGCTTGCTTAGTAGGCTCCACGCTCATGAGTAGACTGAAGTTGCTAGAAAAGTCCACAGGAGCTGGTATACTCTTTTTGCCTTTCTGTCACAAGAGGACACAAGTGCACATCCTGCTGTTCCTCTGTCATATCGAAACACGTTTGTCCTTTCTTCCCTTCTGCCCTATGAGGACAGAGTAACCTTACCATGGCCTCTCCAGAACTCAAAATGAAAGAGTACATTTTGTCGTTTATAAATGACCTGGGCTGTGATACTCTGTTCCAACAGCACAGAGACTAAGACAATAGAACTTCTCTTACATAATCTAATTAGACCTGTCACAGTCAGCAAATGGAAGCACAACCAAAACAACTCCTGTAGAAGACTGTCATAAAATTATTATTTGTCTCTTGCTGTGGTCAAAGCAAACCCAACACCTAATCACTTAGCACAGTAATGACTTAAGTTTCATACAAATTCTGTGAGTTGGCTGGACTTGGTTGGATACTTATTTTATGACACATTTTTGGTATTAGCAGTGGTGGGTTCATCCTAAGTGACTTTGCTGTCATGAATGGTGCCTCTACAAGGGTTGATGGGATATCTGGAAGCTGACTGGGCCTTCCTCCCTCCACTTACCATTAGCTAGTTAGACTAAATACCTTTACCTGACAGCTGGATTCCAAGAGGGTAAAATTAAAAGCCACCAAGTCTTTTAAGACCCAAGACTAGAACTCGTCATTTCTGTTATACTTTTTGGTCATAGAAAGTTACAAGGTTCTAGGTAGATGATAGGTTAAGTATGAAAACAAGGGAGAAAACAAATACAGCGTGAGAATCCTTAATCCAAAAGTAAAAAAAAAAAATTAAAATGCCTCAATGTCTGACATTTTGCATCCTGACAAGATTCTCAACTCACTTGGGTCTCTGGATAGTTTCAGATATTGATGCTCCTCTGTAAACCTTTACAAATACTCCCAAACTCAGAAATCGTAAGCATTTCTGGTCCTAAGCCTTTTGAATAAGGGACAGTGAGTCAACTGTTGTCCTTAAAAATTTGGAAGGGTATTCATTTAAAATTGAAGCCAGCAGTGGAGACCTTCACAGGAGGAGAGACTGAGAATGTATTGACCACCGAGGTTCTTTTAGCTCTCTAGAAAGAGATTGGAAGAGACAAAGTAAAATCTCCGAGATAAGGGAGGGAAATGATGGTCATGTTGGCACGATTAAGGAATGCAGAGACTTTGAGCCGCTTGAGGATAGTGAGGCGTCTGATTTGAGAAGCATCTAGGATGCAAAATTCAGTGCTCAGTGTCTGCACACTGGATCTGGGGAAAGGATGCGGAATAAAAGACAGGTTCTATGTTCCTAGCTGGGATAGATAGATAACGTGTCGGGAGAAATTATGGTAGAGAACATACAGGTAGGATCTCAGTTGTTATGTTTACAGTTTCAGGGCATAGACTTCCTAGGAAGCAATATTTAGCTAGTGCTTGAACTATCAGTCTGAGGCTTGGGTATGGGGCTGGGATTTTTCCATTATTCTTCCAGGAATGTTAATGGAATTGATCCAGGACTTTTAGGCAACTTATCAGCACAGGCATCCTGCCAATATCATCTTGGAAACAGCAAACCACCCTGCTGGATTTATGTTAGGAGGCAGTTCTTTATCCTACCCATCTCAATACATCAAAACTCAGACGGCTAAGGGGCAGGGAGTGCTTACTAGACAAGTTGATAGGACGTTTTAGTAGTCTTTTTTATTTTTGGTTTTACGAGACAGGGTTTCTCTGTATTGTTTTGGAGGCTGTTGGTCCAGCCCGGCCTTGAACTCACAGAGATCCGCCTGCCTCTGCCTCCCGAGTGCTGGGATTAAAGGCGTGTACCACCACCGCCAGGCTCGTTTTAGTAGTCTTAAGAGTGTGTTCTGAGTTTTAGTAGTCTTAAGAGTGCGTTCTGAGTTTTAGTAGTCTTAAGAGTGCGTTCTGAGTTTTAGTAGTCTTAAGAGTGCATTCTGATCTTCCTCACCTCAAGTGTGGCAGGTGGGTGGGTGAACCAAAATGTGAAGGGAAACGAGTCACACTGAGGATGCCGGGAAAAGGTAGTTGGATATTTATTAAGAAGTGACTTACATGAAAAGCCGAGAATTGGGTCAGTGCTCTGTGGTCTCCGAACCTCGGCCAGGATCCAAGAGAGAGCTTTCCCTTTCTTTTTCTCCTTACTTCCCTTGCCTTTCTCATATCCCTCTGTCCACGCCCCAAACGGGCATGGTCAGTGCCTCAGGTATGTAAGGTCTCCTGTACAGTAAGTGATCTTTTCTATTGTTACCATGACTCCCTAGCCACCCATGCTTAATCCTTCACATGTCCATCAAATCTTAGTAAGCAGTGAGGGATGCTTAGTAAAACTGAAGCTCTCATTCTCCTTGGAAACATGGGTACAACTTCTGTTTTTCCTGTTCCCTTCCCCCCATTCCTACCCCAGGTACTGTCTTGCTTAAGCCCATGAGCTTTGGAATTGGCACAGTTCAAATTTATGTGTCAGCAAACTTAACAATTACTGCGTGTAATGGATTTTTGGAACCATTTATAAATAATTGAAACCAAGAATGTTAAATTCTTGAATGCCAAGGCTACTATATATTAATATTGCATGGAGTTCCATAAAGAACGTTATGATTTCCAACTTTTGTGTCTCATTTGATTTTGGGGATGCGTGTGTCTCAGGTCTCTACATGACCCTAGCTGTCCTGTAACTCACAATGTACAGCCGGCTGGTCTTAAATTTAAAGAGATTCCCCAGCCTCTACCCCTGAGTGCTGGGTTAGAGATACACACCACCATGCCCCACTATCTCTCTCAGCTGCAGTCCCCTAGATTTCAGTACTGACACCTGTGATGTTTGTTAATGTTCCTTTCTCTCTAAGTCAGAACGTTATACATGTTCTTGTGAGGAACTAAAGTTTAGTTTCTAACAAACAGATTCTTCTTTATGTTTCTTAGTACTACAGAGAATTCGACTATGATGTTATAAATTTCACTCTCTTTATTTTTCATTTTAAATAGCAGAATAACACATGCTTATTGCCAAATAGGATATTCAGAAGCATATTTATTAAAAATGAAATTTGCCTCATCCTTCATTCCCATTATTGTACTGACTTTTATAGCATTGCAAAATCTTCATCTGGATTTATACAGGAAAATACATACACATGCATATATAAAGATGTGTTTGTTTCAGATATGGTCTTTCTGTGTAACTCAAGTTGGCTCATAACTTGATCCTTATGCCACAACCTCCCAAGTACTTTGATGACAGGTATGTGTGACTGCACTCGACTATGAGAGTTTTTTAATTTAAATTTTTTGAGAGTTTCATACTTGAGTATGTATTTACATTATTTCTACTCCTTCCCCCACTCCCACTTAAATTTATGACCCCTTCCTCCTCTTTAATTATCCTTGTTAAACACATATGCACACACACAACCCACTGAATCCACCTCGTGTTGCTTAAGTGTGAATGTGTTTAAGGCTTCCCCTTTGGGATTGGATGACCTATCAGAGGACAAACAGAATCTCTCTCTCTCTCTCTCTCTCTCTCTCTCTCTCTCTCTCTCTCTCTCTCTCTCTCTCTCTCTCTCTCTGTCTCTCTCTCTCTGTCTCTCTCTCTCTCTCTCTCTTTCTCAGTAGGAGTTGACTGCTGGTAGTCTTTATCTAGGGGTGGGGCTTTGTTTAATTTCTTTCATCTATGTTGGTGTATCAAATGGTGTTCTCATTATACAGGTCTCATTTAGACCATATTGTTGAGGTTTCTCATGTCTAGAAGATGTCTTATAGCAGGTGTTGTGGTCTTTTAGCTCTTAAAAGCTTTCTGTCCCCTCTTCCATGACTTACCCTGAGCCTTTGGCATAGGAATTGGGTGTGGACACTCCATTGTCACTGTTCTATGTGTTTTGACTGATTGTGGATCTTTGTGTCTGGTGTGTGCTCCTCATATCTGTGGCTTGGTTAACAAGGACGCTTATGTTTAAATGAGCAGTGTTTCAACGCCGCAGAAAGAGGAGTACTTAAGCAATTGGTTTCAAGATGAGGCTTACTGTTTATGGTGGTGGCCAGTACAAATTAAAAGGCACCCAGTGATTAGAATACCTCCTTGGTGCAGCATTCCCTGTGCCTTGGGTGCAGCGTCCACTGACCCTTGGGTGCAGTGTTCCATGCCCCTTGGTGCAGGGACTGTGTGGTAGGTATCCCATGTAAGGTTGGACTCTCCACAGTCACCTGCTGTCCTCACTCTGAGCAGTTGTAGTTTTCTGTGAGAAGAAGTCCTTTGATGAGAAGTGAGACTGCAGTCATCTGTGGGTGTAAAAGGTCAGTATCAGAGGGCAGTGTCTATTTTCTCCACTTAACAAGATGCCAGTAGTTGGGCTTGATTGGCTAACCTGACAATTATCAGAGCGTCTCAAAGGAAGCTGCTTACTTTCTCCAGTCGGTCATAGAATACCCCCATGCGGATTTATCTGTAGACATGAAGCAGCTTGGTCATTGTGTCATGTGAAAAGTACCATTATTTAGAGAGAAGTAAGTGGCACAGTCATTTTTAAGAAATCAGAAGGACAGTGTTGTTGGACAGTGACATTTAAGAGCTTTTTGAGTTAGATTATGTGTCAATGAAATAGAGTATCATAACTATAAATTGATATTGTAAGAATTACAAATTGTTAAAAAGTTTTCAAACTAGAACCAGAAGATGGTGTCTTTAGTATCTTCAAAGCTAGAGGCTTGAAGTTACAAGCTTTTTGTATCATGGAACTTGTATTTTTTGTTCTCTTAAGCTTTAATTTATATATTCCTTCTTTTTTTTTTTAAAGTTTGCTTTTTTAAATGATGTTTTTTTCTGGATTTCTTTTACAGGAAGTTCCAGAATCATTGTCTTCGATCACATTAAGTGACACAGATATGGGTACCATGAAGATAAATGAACTGAGTCATGCAGTTCCAATAGAGGAACTTGGAGAGGTCACTAACCACAAAGCCATCAGCAAAGCAACAGCAAATGAAGAGGGTGAGACAGTGAGGCATCCTGAGAGTCATTCAAGCGTCCAAAGCAAGTCACTCCCCGAGCCTTTGCAAGGATTCCACCCTGAGTCCAGCCCTGCTCCCTCCGGTCCTGATGCTTCGCACACAGTGGCTGGTTCAGTTCTAGGCACTTCAAAAGAAAGCAAGGTGCGGAGGGTGCCCTGCATGTATGGGGCTAACTGCTACAGGTAAGACAGACCTGAGGTAGCATTGCAGCCCTGTGCGTCTCCGGGTGCTGCTGTGCGGTGCTGTGCTGTTGTTGTTAAGAGCCTCCTACACTGCTGCCTTAACGTCGGGTGCTTCACTGCATCTCCACTGGGTTGCACTTTCCAACTGTGCATTCTGGTAAACCCTGCCAGAGCTTTTAAGATACAACGGGGAATTAAATGTTTTATTTGTAGACATGCTGACTAATGCAAGGGCCTGAATACCTGGGAATACAGACTTCAAAAACGGAATCACACAGACTTAAATACCTGCTCATCTAATGTCTTAAGTTTAAAGAGATACTTTTAGAAATAGTTATTGTACCTGCCCATTAAGATAATTTTAGATTGTGTTTAGGCATTGTATTGTATGTATTTTCACATTTTTCTATAAAATAGAAATTTTTTCTACTCTGAAAATTATGAAAATGAAAATTTTACGCATTCATATTTTCATGCATTGAAGTGGCAACCTTAGCTTTAGACCATGGGTTTATAGTAGCGTGTGCTAACTAGTCTGTTTCCATTGCTTGCCATCCCACGGTCAAGCTGTGTCTGTGCAATGCATCCCCATGCCGCATGCTCAGAGTCCTTACACCACATGTTCTGTTCATTTCACATTCTCATTATTTCCTTTTAAAATACATTGTTATTTTAGAATTAGAGTGACTGTGTTTTTCAGTTTCAACAGTTCTGAGTTTTTTTTTTAATTTTTTTTAATTTTATTTTAATTTTAAATAGCTTGTTTTACATGTCAATCCCAGTTCCCTCTCCCTCCCCTCCTCCCCTCCTCCCCTCCTCCCCTTCCCCCCCCCCCCCCACCCTATTGCCAAATCCTTCCACATAGGGGATATCTAGAGTCTGTCATTTTACTCTGGGTAGGGTCCAGGCACTCCCCTAAGAGTCCAGGCTGAGAGAGCATCCCTCTTTGTGCTATAGGCACACGAAGACTGTTTGTATACCAGGGATAGACACTGATCCACAGCTCAGGGCCCCATAGGTTGCCCAGGCCTTCTCGCTGACACTCACATTTGAGGGGTCCAGATCAGTCCCATGCTGGCCTTCCCACTGTCAGTCTGGGGTCCAAGAGCTCTCCCCTGTTCAGATCAGCTGTCTCTGCTGGTTTTGCCAGCCCATTCTTTGCCAATTTGCTCATCACTCCTCTCTCTCTGTCACTGGGTTCCTTGGGTTCAGTTCAGTGATTAATTGTGTGTTTGCCTCTGCTTCCATCAGTCACAGGATGAAGGCTCCCGGATGGTTATAGACATCAAGTTCATTATCAGGAATGGGCATTCAAGGTGGTCTCTCCACTATTGCTTAGCTTGCCAATTGGTGTTATCCCTTTAGATCACTCGAGGTCGCTCTGATGCCTGATCTGTATTCAATCCTATGATTCCCTCTTCCCCCTATTCTACCCCCACCCCCTCAATTTCCTGTTCCCCCATGACCAACTCTCTTCCTCTTCACCCCCTCTCTTCTTCCCAGGTCCCACTCCCCCCGACCCCTCGCCGTGTTCCCCATCCATTCAGGGGATCTTGTCTCCATCCTCTTCTCTTGGGTACTATGCATATATGCATATCTTTTAGGTTCTTTCCTGTTTCCCAGACTCTCTATCAGTGGAAGTGCAAACTGGCACTATCCTGATCCGTGTCTAAAATCCATATATGAGTGAGTACATACCATGTTTGTCTTTTTGCGACTGGGTTACCTCACTCAGGATGGTTTCTTCCAGTGCTATCCATTTCTCTGCGAATTTCAAGATTCCATTGTTTATTTCTGCTGAGTAATACTCCATTGTGTAAATGTACCACATTTTCTCTATCCACTCTTCAGTTGAGGGGCATCTAGGTTGCTTCCAGGTTCTGGCTATTACAAACAATGCTGCTATGAACATAGTGGAGCAGATGCCCTTGTTGTATGAACTTGCCTCATTTGGATATATGCCTAAGAGTGGAATTGCTGGGTCTAGTGGTATATTAATTCCCATTTTCCTGAGGAATCTCCATACTGATTTCCAAAGAGGCTGTATGAGTCGGCACTCCTACCAGCAGTGGAGGAGTGTTCCTCTCTCTCCACATCCTCTCCAGCATAAATTGTCTTCGGTGTTTTTGATTTTAGCCATTCTGACAGGAGTAAGATGGTATCTCAGAGTTGTTTTGATTTGCATTTCCCTGATGGCTAAGGATGTTGAGCACTTTCTTAAGTGTCTCTTGGCCATTTTAGCCTCCTCTACTGAGAATTCTCTATTTAGCTCTGTACCCCACCTTTTAATTGGATCCTTTGGTGTTTTGGAGACTTGTTTCTTGAGTTCTTTGTAAATTTTGGAGATTAGTCCTCTGTCAGATGTAGGGTTAGTGAATATCTTTTCCCATTCTGTGGCCTGCCTTTTTGTCTTTTTGACTGTGTCCTTTGCCTTACAGAAGCTTTTTAGTTTCAGGAGGTCCCATTTGTTAATTGTCGATCTCAGTGCCTGTGCCACTGGTGTTATGTTTAGGAAGTGGTCTCCTATACCAACTCGTTGAAGAGTATCTCCCACTTTCTCTTCTAAAAGTTTCAGTGTGGCTGGATTTATGTTGAGATCTTTGATCCATTTGGACTTAAGTTTTGTACAAGGCGATAAACATGGATCTATCTGCAGTCTTCTGCATACCAGTACCCAGTTATGCCAGCACCATTTGTTGAAGATGCTTTCTTTTTTCCATTGTACAGTTTTAGCTTCTTTGTCAAAAATCAAGTGTTCATAGGTGTGTGGGTTAAAATTAGAGCTTTCGATTCGGTTCCATTGGTCTACCTGCCTATTTTTGTGCCAATACCAAGCTGTTTTCAGGACTATAGCTCTATAATAGAGTTTGAAGTCAGGTATGGTGATGCCTCCTGAAGTTCCTTTATTGTATAGGGATGTTTTAGCTATCCTGGGCCTTTTGTTTTTCCATATAAAATTGATTAATGTTCTTTCCAGGTCCTTGAAGAATTGTGATGGAATTTTGATAGAGATTGCATTGAATCTGTAGACTGCTTTTGGCAAGATTGCCATTTTTATTATGTTGATCCTACCAATCCAAGAGCATGGGAGATCTTTCCATTTTCTGGTATCCTCTTTGATTTCTTTCTTTAAATACTCAAAGTTCTTGATATACAGGTCTTTCGCTTCCTTGGATAACATTATCCCCTGATATTTGATGCTGTTTATGGCTATTGTAAAAGGTGAGATTTCTCTCTCAGTCACTTCATCGTCTGTATATAATAGGGCCACTGATTTTTTTGAGTTTACCTTGTATCCTACCACATTGCTGAAGGTGTATATCAGCTCTAGGAGTAACCTTGAGGAGTTTTCTGGGTCACTTATGTAAACTATCATATCATCTGCAAATAGTGAAAGTTTGACTTCTTTTCCTATTTGTATGCCCTTGATCTCCTTTTGTTGTCTTATTGCTGTAGCTAGAACTTCAAGTACAATATTGAAGAGATATGGAGAGAGTGGACAGCCTTGTCTTGTTCCTGATTTTAGAGGAATTGCTTTGAGTTTCTCTCCATTTAGTTTGATGTTAGCTGGTGGTTTACTGTATATTGCTTTTATTATATTCAGGTACATTCCTGTTATCCCTGATCTCTCTAAGACCTTTATCATGAAGGGGTGCTGGATTTTGTCAAAGGCTTTTTCAGCATCTAGTGAGATGATCATGTGGTTTTTCTTTCGCAGATTGTTAATATGGTGGATTACATTGATAGAGTTTCTAATGTTGAACCATTCCTGCATTCCTGGGATGAAGCCTACTTGATCATGGTGGATGATATTTCTGATGTGTTCTTGAATCCGGTTTGCGAGTATTTTATTGAGTATTTTTGCATCAATGTTCATGAGGGAAATTGGTCTATAGTTCTCTTTCTTAGTTGTGTCTTTGTGTGGCTTGGGTATCGAGGTAATTGTAGCCTCGTAGAAAGAGTTTGGCAGTGAGCCTCCTGCTTCTATTGTGTGGAATACTTTGAGGAGTATTGGAATTAGCTCTTCTTTGAATTTCTGGTAGAATTCTGCACTGAAGCCATCTGGGCCTGGGCTTTTTTTGTTTGGGAGACTTTTGATGACTGCTTCTATTTCATTAGGGGTTATAGGTCTGTTTAGATTGTTTATCTGTTCTTGATTTAGTTTTGGCAATTGATATATATCCAGGAAATTGTCCATTTCCTTTAAATTTTCGAATTTTGTGGAGTACAGATTTTCAAAGTATGCCCTGATGATTATCTGGATTTCCTCAGAGTCTGTTGTTATGTCCCATTTTTCATCCCTGATTTTGTTAATTATCATGCTCTCCCTCTGTCTTTTGGTTAGTTTGGACAGAGGTTTATCTATTTTGTTGATTTTCTCAAAGAACCAACTCTTTGTTTCATTGATTCTTCTCAGTGTTTTTCTGGTTTCTACTTGATTGATTTCAGCCCTCAATTTGATTATTTCCTGGCGTCTGCTCCTCCTGGGGAGTTTGCTTCTTTTTGTTCTAGAACATTCAGCTGTGCTATTAATTCTCTAGTATGACTGTTCTCCAGTTTTTTCATGTGGGCACTTAGTGCTATAAACTTTCCTCTCAGCACTGCTTTCAAAGTGTCCCATAAGTTTGTGTATGTTGTGTCTTCATTCTCATTGAAATTGAGAAAGTCTTTAATTTCTTTTTTTATTTGTTCCTTTACCCAGGGATGGTGCAATTGTGCATTGTTCAATCTCCATGAGTTTGTAGGGTTTCTGCGATTTGTGTTATTGTTGAATTCTAATGTTAATGCATGGTGGTCTGATAAGATGCAGGGGGTTATTCCAATTTTTTTGTATCTGTGGAGATTTGCTATGTTTCCTATTATGTGGTCAATTTTAGAGAAGGTTCCATGTGGTGCCGAGAAGAAGGTATATCCCTTTGTGTTTGGGTGGAATGTTCTATAGATGTCTGTTAAACCCAGTTGGGTCATAACTTCTAGTAGTTCTTTTGTTTCTTTGTTAA